AGTGGAGGGCAGATTGCTTGCCGCAGGAGCAGGTAGCTTGCTGGGCTGAGGAGAAAGACGGGTTAGCTTGTAAAGTTTTGGTAGTGCCATTGTCGTTTATGGATGGTTTGAGAATGATGTTGTGTTGGAGCAAGAGAAAGACGTCGAGATGATGTTGAAGTTGGGAGATCAGGGGATGAGAAGTACATACCACAGACGCACTCGGCGCTCTTGCCGCAGCATGTGGAAGCCTTGGTGACAGTCATTGTGATTGTTGGTTGGAAAGGTGAAGTTGGTAAGGTATAGGGTAGGAAGTAGGAGTTGGTTGTGAATGGAGAAGAAGCCGGGAGCGAAGGAAGAGTTGGATTGATTCGAATTGGTATGAATAAGTCTGTATCGAAGGGAACAACATCATCAAAGGCAGTCGCAGAGGGGTCCTTTTTAAGCATCTGCGATGCAGGGACGGAGGGGCCGAGTCCCGACGTCACGGTTCCTGCCCATCATGGTGGGTGATCCCTGCTCTAGGTCATCAGCTACCCTCTCATTGGCTAGAGATCTTTTGAGCCAATAACAACAGCTTCATTTCCAACAATGTGCCCAGGTTGCATCGGGCCATTTCCATGGCCAGATCCTGCTATGTCAGCCCATGTGTGAACGGTGCAATTGCATGACAGCGGGACGGGTAACTGACAATTGCGCCCACATCTTTTTGGTCAGCATTTGACGACGATGGCACGGTTGGCTCGCGTGGCGTGGCATCCTGGATTGACACCTTGTGTACGATTTGCTTTCACCCCAATGCGGACGTGGATCTCTGAGATGCTATTCGGCTCCGCGTACCTCAAGCTACTAGGCACCTTAGGCCAACACATACATGGCTTTTGCACCCTCTGATGGCTCTTACTTTCCACTCGTGCATGCTCTGATAATCGTATATGCCAGCAAGCCATGCGTCATTCTACTGAAGCTCTTGACCGGCAAGTGCAGCAATTCCTCTAGTTTGACGGAACCCGAGTTCCCCATGGCTTCAAGAAAACGTACGTCGCTTGCATGCGCCTGCCCGTGTTCAAGCTAGTATATCCAGTCATGTCGTGGAGCGTTGTGTTGGCTTCCGGCCAACCGCCAACAGTACCGCGCGAGGAAAAGAAGATTGGCCTTGGCTGTCTCCGTAACGTCTCTCGATCCCGTTTTGTTGCTGTAGGCGCCGCTAATGGCTGTATATAACACATGAGCTGTGCTGCTTACATGTCCATCAGAGGGACTGCTCGTCTTACTTCTGTGAGAGGACGGACGTTATATCAGGCTTTATCATGCAGACATATGATGCCATTGCTCAGTAGTTGCTATACATAAACACTAAACTTTTATTTGTGAGGCTAGAACACGAGTCTCGTTACACGGTAAACGCCATCTGTTGGGATAGACAGGCTTCAGTAAAGGCGGTTCCTACTTGGACTCAGTGTGTATAAGAAAAGCCGATGGCATATTTGAATGAATCATCCAAAAGATGCATCAGACCGTTGCCCCGGGTTCCTGCATACACGTCAACTTCCTTCATATACGGACCTTTGCTCCGTTTGCTTTGCCTGGTGCCTGAAGTGGCCCTTGACGAATATTCCTGATGACAGCGTCCTTCATCTTCCTCAATCTTGGAACCCGAATACGCTCCCGTTTCTCCTGGCGGCCGTTTGATGCCATCCTTTCACAATCGACCGCCTAACCGCAGCCTTGGACTTCCTTCCCCTACTTCCAAAATATTCAAGCGGCTCGCATTTCTTTTGTCACGAGCTGACTTCTGATTTTCTCAAGCTTGTCAATCACAAGGTAAACCTCGGCCGTCCTGCTCTGAGTTTCCTTCACACTGCAGGGTGTCTGAGATTTTCAACCGTGAATACCTCATCCTCACCCATCAAACCTTCACCTTCCCATCAAAATCATCAGATATAGCAAGAAAAGGCATCCATCTCAACATCAGCTCTCACCACATCCCATTGCGAGAGCTTCAAGATGGTCGTCCCGACTGACCCCAAACTGCTTTCCATCCTTGCCGACAGAGCGGGCGTCAATATCAGACAGCTCGAAGTCGGATACCGCGAATTCGTCGATAAGATGATCCCCAAAGTCTTGTGGGAAGCCAAACCCTCCAGTGTCGACCTCATTCACAGTCCCGAGCCCTTCATCGCCCGCCGCGCCTACAAGCTCACCTTCGACGAGCCTCCCAGGCCCGGCGTCCCAACGCAGCTCATCCTCGACGTCAAGTTAGGCCCCAGCCCTATAAACGCTGGCGTCTTTGTCAACATCACCAACCCCGTCGGCAACGTCTCCACATTCGACGCGGCCGGCCGTTGCCAGGAGATTGCCCGCTCTTGGCTTCCCGACCTGGTCCCCCGCGTCATCCGCGTGGGCATCTATGAGACGGATGACGGCGATGTCGACTACATTGTGACGGAGCACATGCCAAACACCGTGACCCTCGACAAGGTCTGGTCCTCCCTCACTCCCCAGTCGCAGGACCGCATCATGGGCCAGCTCGTCACTGCTCTGGAAACCCTCCAGAAGGAACACGGATTCTCCGAGAAGGATATCCAAGACGCGCTCGAAGCCGTCAACCTTTCCGGCAACATCGACTACACCGCCCCCGCCGTCCTCAACAGTCTCAAGACCCCCGAGCCGATCCCCTTGGACCAGATCCCGGCCTGGCCTCCGCAGTTCACCTTGCAGAAGCGCATCCGCCTCCTCCTCCAGCGCTACGCCAACGAGTTCCGTCCCGCCCGCCACCACTCCCCAGCCACTACCTTTACGGAGCGCAAAGACGGCAGCTTCTTCATCAGGTTCCCTGGCGCGGACCATCTGATGGACGTCCAGGGCCTCACGTGCAGACACATTCAAGAGCTCGGCAGGGCCCTCGTCCTCTGCCATATGGACCTCGAGCCCCGCAACATCCTCGTCAAGCTCGTCGAGCAGCCCGCCGCCGGTACCGATGGCAAGCCCGAGAAGGAACTCCAGCTGGCCGGCATCGTCTCCTGGCAAAAGGCCACCTTCGCTCCCTTCTCCATGGAGCGAGGCCTCAAGGACGCGTTGCTCGGCTGCCAGTTCAACTCGGACTACGCGTGGTACAGGCTCTTTGTCGAGCGCACCAAGCACCTGATCCCCGATCGATTCTCTAATGCGAGTGAGCATGTGCTGGCGGTCATGGTGAGCATGCGCTTCGCTGCTCGTGCGCTGGAGTGTGACTACACGACGACTTCCCACCAGCAGCACTTCTATGCCATGGAGAAGATTACCATGACCTCAAACCGGAAGGATGGATGGGTCAGAATGCCTGGCGCCCAGTATCATGAATCGCCTTCGGACTGGGAGTACCGGGAGATGGGAAACGGTGTTGTTCGCAAGCTGCTCTATAACCACTTCCAGACAATTCCGAGACACAGCTGGCCACAGAAGGCTGTGGATGCTTTTGCCCAGTATGGTGCTTAAGCTGTCGATTCTCGGACATTCTTTGTTGGGTCGCGGTCACCGAGGAAAGAAAATTAAATTCTTCTCATGACTTTGGGAGTTAGAGGACACATCTCTTCACTCTGGGGAAGTCCGAGTGCTTGCAAGAGAAAATGACATTAGTTCTCAGCCATCAAGTACTTTGCATCCTAGAAGGCACGTCGTCTGTCCGCCGAAAGTGCGTGGGCTTGGAACTGATGCGAGGGTCATTGACGTGGTACCAAAAGGAGACACAAACGCCTAGCAGACTAGCAGACAACTAGGTCTAGAAAGCCTCTTATTCAATCGATTGTCCATGATATTTCTCTTGCACCTTCCTTATTCGTTGCCGTCCTGTGCTCATGGTTGATCAGTTTCTAGTTGTCTTTGGCATGGCGGGGCGTGGAGGGGTGAATATCGTGCTTACTAAGCCGAGTCCCTCTTGAATCTCTTGGTCACACCAAATTGAACCGGTTTCTTCTTCTTGCAATGTCTCTATTCTGAAGCCGCTGTGACCAACATGTTGCTGCAAAGCCAGACATGGCTGATCGTCCAACAGCTCAAAGCTTACCGGATTCTTTGCTACAGGATCCCCTCCATGCTAGGCGAGGCACAACCCCAGCGATGTTGACTCTCGGGAATTGAGGCCATGGATGCCGAGTTCGCCTTTCCCGATCTTGGGCCCTGATAGGAACATCTCCCCCAAATATTTCATACTTTCTTTTATCTTCAGGATGAACGAACCAGCCGCATCGGAGTCGTTACAACTCCACCCTGATCCAGAACGACTGCCTTTCTATCTTATACATTGCTCTGCTTGGAGTCAAGCCTATCTACTTCAGACTGTTCTCGTCTTGAGGCTCTTAGAGAGGTGGGCACAGTCTACTGAGAGACGCGTTGCGACATCTTCGAGTATTTCGCCAAGGTCGAACTCAAAGCTCTCCTCTATCGAGACCCAGCGACCAGGTCGAGGATAGAAGGCCCGAGTTCTTGGTCCCCCGTGTTACTGTCTCACGACATCGCCAAGGATGGCAGAAGAGGCCAATCGTGTTGTTCTCCATAGTGCGTGGAGTTACACGAGGGTACTTGCAGTGAGCCTCCGGTCCAGCTTCCTCTTTATGTGAGTATTTCTCTTCCCTCTCTTGAAACGGCCAGTGGCATCAGGAAGGAAGGAAGGGCTTTCCGGCATCTTGCCGCATTCAATGGCCTTTGTTTGGACGTTACTTCCTCCCCTCTCTCACTCCTTCCTTATACAGTTCTTTGGACTCTTCAAGGAAGCTCATTTTCTACTTTCATTCACCTTTCGTTCTTCAACATCACCAACACTTTCTCTCTTTTCCCCCTTCTTGCCCTCCTTCTCTTGTACGTCTTTCCTTCATCCGGCTTCTTGAGGGTACCCGAGGATATGCGATCCATCTAGCAACCATGGCGAAGCTTCGCAGCTTCATTTTCCTTCTGTTGGTATCAGCTGTTGCCAACGCGAATCTCGCCTCGTTCTGTCGCTCTACTTTTAGGCCATCGCTATTCTCGCTCTCGGACGACGGATATTTGCAGACTCTGGCAACAACTGCAGCTGCCCAGGAGCCCGAGAGCGCTTCGGCCGGAGAAGCCGTGCCAGAGGAGTCAGCGAGCCAGCCGCAGGATGACATAGCCCTTCACCAGATGTGGGCGAGGCAGAACCTGACGCAAGTACAGCATTCCCGGCTCCTGGATTGATGCTGACCGTATGGACTAGGCCACCCGCCGAAGCGTCAATCCAAGTCACCACCGTTACTGTGGTTCGAACTGTGACCGTAGAGCTTGCTAGAGGAACCGAAGTGATTTGGGCGCCCCTTCAGCAGACCTTGACTTTCATCAACCCCACTCTGGTCTTCGAGACGACTGTCGTTACCGCATTGCAGTCTCGAGATATTGCAGCAAGAGCCGCGGCAAACGCCATCGCATTGGATCAAGCGGCGACTTTGGAGATACCCTCGACCGAAACGCACTACGAGGAAGGTGCTGGGCTTTCATCGCACCCGGCTCCCATCCGGAGGCAGACCTCGGCTTCGGTCAATAGGGTTTCCATAATTACCGTCGAGATCACGACTACAATAGTGGCGAGCGGCACCATAGTCCACACTGTCACCATCTTCGATCCCGTGTTCGTTTCTGTGACGAAGACGCCTACTCTCACGTCGACGATCTTTACAACCACGACCCTTCCCATTGAGGATGGTGTTTCCAGCTCACCTGCGATCGCACCATCTCCCCCGGCTAGCCAGAAGGCCATCTCCAGCGACGGTGCTCAGCAGACTGCATCTTCGACAAGCCCCGAACCTTCAGTCGCGGCAACAACAGTAGCAGCGCCCGAGCCTCAAGAGCCTCCAGCCGCTTCCAACACCGTGGGCGCACCTGAAAGCAGTCGTATCCGCTCATCATCTGATACCCCTCGCGGTACCTTTATATCATCTTCAGTACGTCCAGATTCATCGCCTGCCACCAATGAAGGTATTTCGGCAAGGGTTGGACCCGCAACGAGTAGTAGTCCATCAATGAGATCAACATCGACGACGGCTGTTCCGCCCCTTACGGAAACTCTTCTACCTCCGACTGAGCGCATTGCTAGGCCATCGTTGAGCCCCGGAGTGATCGCAGGCATTGCTGTGGGCGCAACGATTCTTCTCACAGCTTCGATACTGCTATTCCTCTGCATACGTCGACATAGGCCCAAACGCAATCGAAGTCTTCAGTTGAGCGAAGGCGATCGTTACATGACATCTGCCATAGCTGCTACCGCCATGATGAACCAACCGACTTCTAACACTCTAGCCTACGATGGACCTTACCAAGTGCCGCAAACCGAAGGCAGCAGTGGCAAAAGTTCCGAAGAAGAGCAGGTGCGAATTGTCATTCAGCCCGTCATCAAGAAAAGAAGCATGAGCAGCGTGCTCTCGGCCTTGCCAAAGGTATGGCCTCGACCACCGGGATATACCGGCAAGGCATACAGCTTTTCTGCAGGCGGGAGCGGCGAAACGACCCCAAGGGAGCCTGTAGGATGGAGTGTTGAGAGCGAGTATGGAAGCTCGGGCAATCTGGATGTATCGCGAAGTGGAGGATGTGAGGAAGCCATCGCCTCGAAAGGGGCGGCAAGAACCCACTCCAAGGGAGATGGCAGACGTGAGAAGGGTTGGATCCGATGAACTAATGCAATGAATGAAGCACTTATTCCCATACTAAGGATTCATGGGCTGTGCTTCCTTGAAGTCTGGAAAGTTCACCGGTCGCTTCGAGGAAGATGGGGCTCTTTCGCTCACCGATGCAAATCTCGCCCGCAATGCGAAGTGATATCATACCACAATCGGTACGACCCCCGTCGACGTATCATTTCTCCATTGTGACAGACCTCAGCACACTGTATCTAGTAGCCTATTCCGAGGCCCAGCCTACCGATTCGTACGTTGCACTGCAGAAGACGGTTGGGATGTTGCATTGGCACATCACCGGTGCGGGGTTCTTAAAAAAGCAAGGTGAGCAGACTTTCATAATATTGTTTTTGGATTGCGCCAAAGATATCGGCTCAAACGCACTTAAATTGAGGGCCTCCCGTCAGACATGGGGTTGTTGTTGTTGTTGTTGTTGTGACGCCGGTCGCCGCTGTTCTTCTAGGTCCATGCTCGAAGTTTCTCATCTGACCTTCTCATCCCCTGGAGAAAGCATGGCGTCAACATTGTTCATCGGACTCCTGTTAGCGACAAATTTTGTCCGAGGGCATCACACTGAGCAGGTCAAAAGAACTTTCGACTCAATCAGTGAGCAGTAAGACTACATCGTGGTTGGGGGCGGTACAAGCGGCCTTGTCGTCGCCAACAGACTGAGCGAAGACCCTGAAAGTGAGTCTCAGCGTCATTCATGGTTTAAACCCCAACATATCTGATGCCGATTCATTGTGTACTCTCAGAAACGGTATTGGTCGTCGAATATGGAGACTTTGCCAACACAATCAACGTCACCGTGCCCTACTTTGCCACATACGACCAGTCGGCGCGCCTCTACAACGTGACGTCCGTCCCTCAAACCCATCTCGGTAATCGTACATCTCGCCTTCGTATCGGTGCCGTGGTTGGCGGGGGCTCCACAGTCAATGGAATGGCCTGGGATCGGGGCTCCGAAGCCGACTACGATGCGTGGGAGGCCCTTGGGAACCCGGGTTGGGGCTGGGCGACTCTTTTCAACTATTTCCAAAAGTCGTCTACGTTCGCGCCGCCTTCGGGTGAGTATGTCGAGAAGTACGGGTACGAATGGAGTGAGGATGCATACGGCGATGGACCCATTCAGGTCGGGTTTCCTTCGTGGCAGTGGCCAGAGTCTGGTGAGGTGCCCTCTTGACGGAGTTATGCCCTCGCTGATCAATCTGCTGATGTCAATGAACAGCTCTCATGGCGCAAGCATGGGCTCAGGACATCAAAGTGCCCACATTGAAAGACGGCGCCGACGGCGACAATGTCGGCATTGCATGGCTCCCGCAGAACTCTGGCGGTCCTAACGCGACTCGATCAACCGCTGAGACCGCGTACTTTAACCCAGTCAGCGCCCGCGAGAACCTACATCTGCTTGTACGCCACTACGGTGCAGCGATAAGATTTGAGGGCAAAACAACGACCGGCATAGAGATTGGCAGTCGTGATGGCTCCGAAACCAAGTTCGTGGAATCTCGGAACGTGGTGCTCGCCGCGGGCACAGTTCACACACCCCAATTACTCCAGTTGAGCGGCATTGGTCCAGAAAAGCTCCTGAAGTCTTTGGACATTGACGTGGTGGTGGATTTACCAGGCGTTGGTGCGAACTTCCAGGACCATCCTTCCATCTTCATGGTCTACGATTGTAAGTTGAACACCCACTTTGGAATTCCTATCAGAAGGCTAATCTCTCTTTTTACAAAGTTGCCAACGACACATCTATTAACCCGACCCTTATGAACAACGAAACCTTCTATAACGAGTCCTGGGCAGCGTACGAAGCCAACAGAACTGGACCACACACACACGCCTGGGGAAATCGAGTCGTCTTCACATCCCTCCAAGACCTCGATCCAGACAACTACGAAGCCATCGCGGACGCCGTCACAGCCCAGGACCCGCTGCAGCATCTCCCCGAAGTCTACGCCGAGAACCCTGCACTCCTCGAGGGATTCACCCGCCAGCGTGACATCCTGAGCCAGAGATTCCGCAATCCAAAGGCAGGCGTCATGGAATTCACCTTTGGCGGCGCAGAATCCGTCCCCGTAGCCCTCCAAAAACCCCTCTCGCGCGGCACCATAACCATCAACAGCACAAACCCCGACCCGGGATCACCCACCCCAGGCGCAGGCGGTGCGCAAGTCGACTTCAACACCCTCTCAAACCCAATCGATACGCTACTCCTCCTCCGCGCCGTCGCCAAAGCCCGCGCCTTCATGGCGAGTCCCAGCGTCGAGACGCTCGCCGCGGTGGAGATCCTCCCGGGCCCTGGCGTCACCAGCGACGCCGAGATCGAGGCCGTCATGCGGGAGTCGTGGCTGTCTTCAAGCTTCGATCACCCGGTCGGCACGGCGGCAATGATGCCGCGGGATCTAGGGGGTGTTGTGGATAGTGGGTTGAGGGTGTATGGCGTCGAGGGGCTGTGGATTGTGGATGCGAGTGTTATGCCGATGTTGCCTGCGGCGCATACGCAGGCTACTGTGTATGCTGTTGCGGAGTATGCGGCTGATCTTATTAAGGGTGTTGGGGAGTGAGTTGGTGAGGGTGGAATGGCGGGACTAGTAACAGAAGTTCCATCGCGTGGTGAATAAGCTTATTTCGACTTCAAGTGTTTTCATTAGCCGGTCTGAATCACCGAGACTATGGTGCAAGTTGCATTCACCACGATGATATACTCATAACCATTCAATCGCCTCTAGAAGCATGTAAATCTCATTGCCTGGCAGCATGGACCGACCGAGAGACTCAACCTCAGTTAATCTCGCTCACCTAGCCCATGTCACTCGTCTCCAAGCCACACAACTAGCTAGCCATTTATTATTATCAGACAAGAGCATCTTTCTCAAACTTGCGTTTGTATTCTCCATTGCCATGATCATTTAACCTTTGGAGTCCCTGCCTGTGCTCAAGCTTACAGCAGAGGAAGTCTACCAGCGCCTTCGGTAGTTGGTGCGGACTGGGACGGTCATGTCTCGGGCACGCATTGCTGTGTTGCTGCAAATCACAAGTCAAGATCTAGTTGTTGCGAAGCTTTTACGAGAAATATTGCCTCGGAGATGGATTAGCTGGTGGGTTGTGCTAGTCGCCACCTTTGTCTTTGTCACTGGGCAAACCCCGTCACGGCTTCGGCCATGATCTCGGATGGATCGTCTTCTTTTGAGACTGGAAGACTTGAAGAGAGGTTAACGTAGCGCAATCGATTTTCACTTCATCGCAAATACTGATGACGCCTATTGCTTGTGACGGCCAGCTGCACAAATACAACGGATTCCGCGGAGAAAAGTCGGCGAGCCCTGCAAAAGTTCAATCTTTGGTACAGTAGGTTTAGTTCAGCCGTTGCTGCTAAGCAATCAAGTGGGTGACAAAATCGATTTCCGCTCGAACTCACCCGGCAAAGAAGTTTCCACCGCTACCATCACTAGTACTACTATCTGTAAGATATAGTATATTCTTCTACACATATACGAAGGGTTATGATGCGCAAGGGGTAGTAATTCTAATATGAGTAAAAAAAAAACAGGGGGTTTTTCTCCAAGATGTATGGGAGGAAATCCATTTTATCACCCACTTGGCAATGTGTACCCACAAATTACTCGTCGAACATAAGCCGAGCTCATTGTTCACTATCGCGATGTGACCTTACGCCCCCATGCAACATGGAACTTGCATTGGCTCTTTTTCTTCTTTTCCACAAGATTCGCCCGAGACATTACTGCAGATTCACAAGAAACCCCACCGCAGCTCATAATCGTGGCGAAAAATAAAGATTAGGCAATCACCAAAAGCCCCCCTTGCTAGCGTTGATCGGATTCCATTGCGAGGCCCGGGTCGGGTGGGGAGAGCATGGGAGAGCCATGGTACAGACGGCCCATGGGAGTGTTTCTTCAGAAAAAGGCCAGTGGAAACCATACAAGCACACCAATGGGATCGCGGTGATATCTTCTATACCCTGGGAACAAATGGTCTCAGGGTCGCATCGCACCACGTACCGAGCATCTCGAGTCGGACTGGTGCGAGAGGGGGACTGCATGTCTAGTCCAAGTCTGCCGGTCCAGATCGCCTAGTTGTCTTGGCGTTTATCCTTACCTGCATGATGGTATTTACACAGATCGCGCGCCCGTTTTTTTTTTCTTCTCTTTTACTTTGGGGGGAGGCGTTTAACAAGGTTCCTGCGCTGCTATTCCTCTTCTCTTCTGATCACTTGATTTATCGACGGCTTCTCTACCTGGGTTAATTCTGACTTTCGTAGCTTGAGAGAGGGACGGGATACAAGGGCTGCAATCATGGCAAAAGCGGACCTCATGGAGATGCAGCAGCAAAAGGGCGGCTACGATGCCGTCAACACGACGAGCTCCTCGGGCAACACAGACGACGGCACCAGGAACAACAACCATCACCACGAGAGCGGCGTCTACCCGTATACGACCGATGGCGGCACGGGAGACTCGACGCTCAGGGTAAGTCACAAGCTGTCTTACCGATATCACGAATGGCAACTAACACGGGTAATCGCTGCCAGCGTCTCTTCTCCTTTTGGCAGCTCTTGGCCTTTGCCCTGATCTTCATGTCCTCGTGGGAGGTCATGGCGATGGACATGGGGGCGACGTTCTACAACGGCGGACCGCAGACGCTCGCGTGGGGTATCGTTCTTGTCGTCGTCGGCGCCATGGCGCAGGCGCTCTCCATGGCCGAGCTGGCGACCATTCAGCCCATTGCGGGAGCGCAGTACCACTGGACGCATTTCCTTGCGCCAGAGAAGCACCGGCGGTTCATCACGGTATGTCATCTCACCTTGCTCGAGACTTGAGAAAGATGGATGGACATCCAACTGACAACGACGACTCGCAGTGGATGCAGGGCTGGGTAACCTGGTTCGCCTGGGTCTCGGCCCTCGCGGGCTCCGCCGCCTCGGAAGCAAACATCATGATCGGCCTCGTCAGCACAAACTACCCCTCGTACACCTTCCAGCCCTGGCACATCACCATGGTCATCATCGCCCAGCTCGTCGCCTGCGCCCTCATCAACATGTACGCCTTCCGCACCATCCCCTGGATGGAGCTCCTGGCGGGCGTCCTGCACGTCGTCCTCTGGCTCGTCTTTGTTGTGGTTCTGCTCACGCTCGCGCCCCGGGCCTCGGCCGAGTTCGTGTTCTTCGAGCGCACTGTTTCTTCTGGGTGGACGAATGGCTTTGTGAGCTGGAACATCGGCATGTTGGTACCCGCGTGGGGGTTTATTGGGTTTGATGGCGTCGTGCACATGGCGGAGGAGACGAAGAAGGCGAAGCAGGCTGTTCCGCGCGCGATGCTGTGGACGATTATACTGAACGGCGTGCTCTCGTACGGTATTATCCTCGCCATTCTCTTTGGTATGGGCGGCGACCCGGCCACGACGGAGGCGATCCTGAGCTCGGATTACCCCATCATCCCCTTGCTCTTCAACGCTGCCGGTCCCGCCGCCGGCACGGCCATGGTCGTCGGTCTCCTCGTCATCACCTTTTGCGTCGTCGCCGCCTCGCTGGCGTCCGTGTCTCGCATAACATGGGCCTGGGCCCGCGACGGCGGCCTGCCGCGGTACTTTGCCAAGATCCATCCGACGCACCGCGTACCCATCCGCTCCGTCTGGCTGCCGTGCGTCATCGTCACCTGTCTGTCTCTCTTCACCGTCGGCAACAATGCGACGGCGACGGTGTTCTCGGCGTTCACGGCGCTGTCTTCGCTGGGGTTGTATGGGTCGTACATCATTGCCATCTCGTGTATGCTCCATGCGCGGCTGACGGGGCGGATCGGACACGGGGCGGGGTATCAGGTGCAGTACGGCGGGTGGTCGTTGCCCAAGGGTTGGGGCACGCCGATTAATGTGTATGCGCTGCTGTGGTCAATGTATTTGAGCGTGTGGTTGCCGTTCCCGCAGACGATTCCGGTGACGGGGACGGAGATGAATTATGCGGGGCCGATTTACGTTGTTGTTGTGGTTGGTGCGGTGAGTTTGTGGTTCACGTGGGGGAAGAAGCACTGGCCTGGGTTGAACAAGAGTGCCATTGATAATGTCGTGGCGTACAATTGAGGGTGGTTCGAGACGGGAAAGTCTGGGTTGGCCTCGACTTTGTAGATGATGAGTTACTAGACTACTATAGAGCATGGTGAAGTTGCACACTACAAGTGTTCCATCGTATACTTTGACTTACGTTCTCGGTGGAACTTCTGGCATGAAGAGGAAGAATGAGAGTGACGGGTTGCTTGGATTGACGTATTTCAGTACGATTATTTTGAGCGACTTGGCAACCGGTGACTCTTCTGGTTGACCGTGTCCTCAATAGACATGGCCAACCTGTTTTCATCTCAGAAAGCCGGTGCCTAGGAATTACACGCGGCCGTGATGACTGGCTACGTCAGGCACCGACGGCCTGGGTAAGAGCATTGCGTACGTGGGCCACGAATGCCATACTGACAAGAGGTGAGATGTGGCCTCTCCCACCGACAACGTGTCCGCATCATACACCAAGACCCGGGCATTTGGCATTTGATCTCGCGATGCTGGTCCAACAGACAAGTCTCGGTGAAGATGAAGATGGAGCATCCATGAGTGGGTGTGTCCCAAAGCGGCAAGATGCGGAGAGGAGCGGCAAAGGTGGAACAACGCCCCGATCGTCGGGCGGGACCGAAGGGCGCTAGCAGACGTCACATGGTGCTCAGATACGGGGGATGCCTGGATGCAAAACACGGTGCCTGTATCAGTCGTGGATGTTCTGTTGGCCCTTGGGTGTAGTTGTCAAGGACTTAAGGTATGTAGAAGCGTTGGATGGAGGGAACATGTTTGCTTGGTGAGTCAAGCCAGGAACCAGACCTTGCTGTGAGTGAACACATGTCCATCTATGCCAAACAGGGGCATTGGAAACACGGTGACCAGAAGGTCTCGTGAGTATTTAGAGGGCCGTCTCTAACCTCGGTGAGCCTTGTAGAACAATCAGAAAGACTTCGCTAAGTTAGGTGCTCTTGGGAAGATGAGATGAGAGCGGTGTCACGAATCAGCAGGTTCCCTGTCTTCCCTTCCAATTGTCCGGTTTCAGCTCCCCTCCTCTCCGCAGCTTACCTCATCCGTTGAACGCTCACCGTTATCGGCTTATCGCCTGCCCGAGCTGACACCGACGACAACCTTATCGCACCTTATCCAGCCCCTCGATGACGTCCACCGAGGTAAGGTACCTAAGGTAGGTAATCGCATCGCATCTCGCTGAAAGCACCGAAGCCAAGATCTCTCACCGGCCGCCCCCCGCCTTACTACCTAAGGAACTCTACCTTAGTCAAGCTAGGTATGTAAGGTACCTTTCCCACCTTATGCTGTGCCGTAGGTACATTGCCGTTTGACCCTTGGATCCAAAGGCAAGTGCCCGTGATGCCCGCTGCACCCGCCTGTTTTGTCCTCGTGCTCAGGGACCCCACCTTACCTTCCACCCCAGCGAGCACCGAGCGCCGGTTGCTGCTTCCGCGTGCTGTCTGCTGTGTAAGCTGCCGTGTACCTTGCCTTACACACCCCGTCCGCATCCGCAATCCTGCATCTTCCATCTGCTCCTCCACAGCTTTGGGTGAACCCTCTTTTTTCTTTCTTTCTTCCATTCTGTCTGTCACTCCGTGTCTCGTCCCACGGCTGACTGACACCCGTAGTCGAATCCTACCGATACTCGCACCTATCAACCCAGACAGACCTTGCGACCTCAAACGCTGCCCCTCGCTGCTCATCCCATACTACCGACAGCCCCCTCGCCTGACGTCGGCTGTGCTCCCTGCGACAGCTGCGCGTGCTGACCGAGCCGTGCAAAGCTACCTGTGCCGACAACGCTCTTCCATCTCTTCTCTAGTTCCGAGCAAACCTTCTTCTCTCTTACATCTCTGCTTCCTCTCCACCTTGACGACCTTATCGAGCCCTCATATCGCAACCATGTTTGACATATTCGCCCACCTGTTATCGTGAGTTCCTCTCTCCTCCAAGCATGCGCAATGGGTGCCATCATACCTCCAATGACACCCGTGATACCCTCGGCGCGGCTTGAACGCTTTGAATCGTTCGACTAACACGGTATCCGCCTCACAGCTCCATCGCCTCCTTTCTCTTTCCCCTCTTCGCCTCTTACAAGGCCCTCAAGACCTCCGACCCGGCCCAACTGACACCATGGCTCATGTACTGGGTCGTCCTCGCCTGCGCACTCCTCGTCGAGTCCTGGACTGAATGGATTCTCGTCTGGTACGTTCTAACTCGCAGACAGCAGCCAACCTCCAGTCTCTCCTCTTCCTACCAACCACTAACACCAACCGCAGGATCCCCTTCTACGCCTACATTCGCCTCCTGTTCCTCCTCTACCTCGTTCTTCCCCAAACCCAAGGCGCCCGCATCATCTACCAAACCCACGTCCACCCCTTCCTGCAAGACAACGAGGCCCAAATCGAAGAGTTCATCTCCGAGGCCCACGACAAATTGAAAGCCGCCGGCATCGCCTACCTTAAACGTGCAATCGAGCTCATCAAGACAAACGTCCTTGGCTTGCCCCCAGGCGACCCCGAACCCGCGCCCCAGCCCTCCGCTGCTGCCGCTCCTGCCGGCCACCCGCCGCAGTCCTACACGCAGTCCCTCCTCGCCCGGTTTAGCGTCCCCGCCGCGCGCTGGGCCCCAGCTGCCGGAACAGGCCATACGGGCGCTGACTTTTACAACCTCCTCGCTGGCGCTTACTCCGCCGCAACCGGTGGGGGACAGCACCAGGACCTCTCCAAGTCCGGCTCCATCATCCCGCCGAACCTCCAGGGTGGCGAGAGAACGAGCTTCATCGCCGCTCAGCGTGAGCGTCTCGCCTTCCTCCTCAAGGCCCTCGAGCGTGAGGAGGCAGCGACGTCATCGTCGGCGCATCCCGAAACCTTTAGCCGCTCCCTGGGGAGCATGCAGCTTGACGGCAACGAGGAGGAGGAAGTGACGCAAAGACCGCCGAGCGCGCACAGCGGACTGAGCAAATCGCGGAGTGAGACCGATTTCGAAAAGATTGACGCCGAGAGCGGGGCCGAGGACCTCGGTGGCGACGACGAGGACGGATCCGTCAGGCGGAGGCAGACGAGCGGGGGATCGTCATGGATGCCGTGGGGTTGGGGCGCTACACCGACGGCTGAGAACCCCGAGGGTGGATCCAGCTCGGGCGTGCACAAGTGATTGCCGCCATACGGATATGACAACGGCGCTTGTCAATGGGAAATGGAGTTCTTTGCGCGGCGGTTTATGGTGACTTTTGCATGATTTAGATGTTTGGCTTCAGGGAAGGGATATGGAGTCATGGTCGATTTATGATACACCCGAGAGTGGATGTCATTCCGGGACCAGCGCAGGCCTGCGCTCCCGCACGATTCCCAACCAAAGGGGGGCTGAATAGACCTGAGAGTCGCTTTCAACAGCCGACCACCGTTCCTTTGAAATTGGCATCTGTGGTGATTATACCAATGTTTTAATTGACCGCTATGCAAAGGTCTATGCATCTACAGCCCTGACCCCTATCCCGAGGAGGGCCATGATATAAGTCTAATATTACAGTTGAGATTCCTACTCTTGCGACCCATCTTACACATATCCCACCCATCTAGTTTTACTTGTACAAGTCTTTTATCCATAAGGTCTCTGCGGGCTCGCACGATGCCCGCCACGCTCCCTGACAGCGCGGAACCGACCTCTTTTAAGGTTCATCGTCCTTCGAGGCCGGACACTCAGTTCGTCTTCTTGTAAGGGTACGCCAACGGCACGTCCTTACGCGTCCAGACGAGCTTCTTGCGCTTGGTGGTGACGTGCTCGGCCCAGACCTCGTCGGCGTACTCTTTGCGGAACTGGCGGATGAACACCGGGTCCCAGAGGTCCGAGGCGACGCCGAGGTCCTTGCAGCAGCGCATCAGGGCGTTTGATTTGCAGCCTTCGACGGCGGAGGGGAGGTTTTCGACGGAGAAGTAGCCGTTTTCGCCTTGGGCTTGGGAGATGAAGCTGTTCCGTACATCATATTAGCTCTACTGTGCTTGAGGCATGGTCTTGCGTGGTTCCATTAAGGGGAGTTCCGATGGGGAAGAAGTTAAAGGGAATAAAGAATGAAACATACCGGCCTTCCGCGATGAGAGCGTATTCTCTAGTGACGACCTTCTCACCGACCACGACGTCGCCCTTGGGGACCAGGCCCCATCCGCCTGGGCCAAAGGCCTGGTTGAGGATGCGGCGGTACTTTATCTCGGGGAGGTAGATTATGCCGTCGGGTTTGACTTCGACGTCGGACGGGTTGACGGGTTGGAGGAGGATGTCGACGACTTCTTTGGGGAAGCGGGCCGTGCCTAGGCCGTGGTAGGATGTTGACCAGTCTATCGGTTGCTGCTGCTGTGTTTGCTGTTGTTGCGTATCTGAGGTCTGGGTTTGAGGCGTGGGAGGGACGTATGCTGGTGCTGTTGGGAATGTTGTCGTCGGGGTTGCGGGCGTGGGATTAGGTGTTGTTGCTGCTGTTGCTGAAGAGGAGGAGGAAGAGGATGGTTTCGAGGCTTTCGCGGCTGGGGAGGGTGTCTTTCTGGCGTAGCTTGAGGTTGTTGTGCTCTTTGCGGGGGAGGGGGCGGCTGCGGTGGCGGAGGCGGCTTTGTAGCGGGATGTTGTGGCTATTCGCGCGACGGGGGTGAAGGTTGTTGCTGTTGCTGTTCGCGATGCGCGGAGGAGGGGGCGCATGGTGAAGGAGGCCATTGTGTGAACAAATGCGACTTTTCGGCTGGGGGCTTGGGAACGGGTAGATGGCGTGTCCAGGTGTAGGTTGAAGAGCTGAGGGACACGCGCGCGCGTGAGAGAGAAGGATATCGGGGAGAGTAAGGCGGTTGTGGGTTGCGCGGTGTCGATGATGCTCATAGACTCCCCGGGCGGCGTGTAGGACGGTGACGGGAAGGATTGAGATGAAATTTGGTCGGCGCGGGTGAATGCGGCGCCCGGGAGGCGGGAGCTTGGGCCACGTTTTGGGAGCTACAACACTGTGCGAGCGACTTTTTTCTTTTATCCTATTGTCGTTGGCGTCAGTCCACTCTGAGGCTGGCAGTGAGTGAGTGAGATGGTCAACGGGAATGAGATGAGTTGCAATTCGTTTCGTGATGATTAATTTACACTTGATGATACTTGTGGTGTACAAGCCCAAGACAGAGGATCAAAGACTCAATTTCGCCCTGAATCATGCATCCTTTGCGTCCGTCCGGCGATCGTTACCCTGCTGCTTCCAACAGCTCTTGAAATGTTCCATCTGGTAAACCTTGGGTTAGCTTTGATTCATCTTGTACATCATTGATGCGAGACCAGAAGATTATTCGAAAGAAGCAGACGTACCTCGGCCGTACACTGCCGCCAGTCCTTCTTCTCGAAATAGCAATCTGTCAACTTGGCATTCTCGTCTACAGAGACCGACCAGGGGAGAGGTCAAAGTTAGCGCCGTGATCCAACTGTCTGTTCGCGATCTTTTCCGCTGCGATCCGGAGAGGAGTCGATGCGTACCTGCGCAACCCGTGCTGAAGATGCGCTTGTCCCTGCATGGTCGTTAGCTTTGTTTCTTGTTTACTTGTTTCCTTCTGCTCGTTTTCTTCTTCTTTTTCTGACTTTCTACATCGTGAGCAACATCAATTTGTCGTATGAGACGTGTCAAACTAGACCACGCAAAAAAAGAATAAAAAAGCAGAAGTGAAGTCCACCTTACGTACCAGTCATCAGGCTCGTCATCCCCCGTCGACGACTTTTTCGCCGCGTCGCTCTCCTGCTTGGACATCTTTCCTTTCGTCTTCTTTCTCGGATTCAATTGTCGATCGGGATAGCAGACGTTGTTGTCGTCTCGTGTCGGTGATTGAACTGTTTTGCAAGGTGTAAAGTGAGTTCTCATTCGACCTACCACCGCCGGAACTTTGTTGGGGTGTTCTAGACAGTGCCAAACCAAACCCCGAAACTACGACGACACTCGCTACAGAAACTCACTCATCACCTCAAGACTCATCTCATCCCTCATCGCCCTCGCTCACAGACTCTCACCATGGCCTCACGTAAACTCAATGTGCTGGTCTACACCGGTATCTAGTTCCCCTTCCTCAGCTAGTATAGCCTACATTGACTCACAATTCATCCCCTAGGCACCGGCACGACCGTTGAATCGGTCCGCCACTGCATCTACTCCCTCCGCCGCCTCCTCTCCCCAACCTACGCCGTCATCCCCGTCGCCGAGGCCGCCCTCCTTAAAGAACCCTGGCAACCCACCTGCGCACTCCTCGTCATCCCGGGCGGCGGCGACCTGGGCTACTGCCGCGTCCTCAACGGCCCCGGGAACCGCCGCATCGCCGACTATGTCCGCCGCGGCGGGGCTTACCTCGGCTTCTGTGCCGGCGGGTACTACGGCAGCCGCCGGTGCGAGTTCGAGGTCGGCGATCGGACGCTCGAGGTTATTGGGTCGCGCGAGCTCGGGTTCTTCCCGGGAACGTGCAGGGGTGGTGCGTTGAAGGGGTTCGAGTATCATTCTGAGAGGGGCGCGAGGGTGGTTAGGTTGAGTGTGAAGGAGGGGTTTGGGGAAGGGGAGGGAGAGGTGTTGAGTTACTATAACGGCGGAGGCGTCTTTGTCGATGCTGAAAAGTTTGAGAATGTGGAGGTTCTCGCTCAGTATGCAGATGAGATTGCCGTCGATGGGGGAGCTGGGAAAGCGGCTGTGATACATTGCAAAGTCGGCTCTGGCAATGTCATCCTGACTGGTCCTCATCCAGAGTATGTTCACCCCATACCCCTTTCGTGATCTCGTATTCTAACAGCGATGTGCTAGATTCGCAGCAGCAAACCTCAACCCTCAACCCCAAATCCCCTCCTACGAAGCCCTCGTCTCCTCCCTCGCAGCAGCCGACGCAGCCCGCGTAACCTTCCTCCGCGCATGCCTCTCCCGCCTCGGCCTAGACCTCAGCGCTGACCCGTCCGCTCCGCCCTCCCTCTCCCGCATGCACCTCACCTCGGCGAACCACGTCGAAGTAGGCGAGATGCTCGCGTCCTGGGAAGAGGCCATCACGCGCGAGACCGGCCAGGGCCAGGATGCCGAAGACGACAAGGAGGAGTACATCCGCGGCGAGCACGATGTCTTCCGCATTGAGAAGCTGTCTTCGCGGTGGGATGTTGACGAGCTCAAGCAAGCTCTGCCGTCTTCTGGTTCTGGGGACGCAGGAGAAGGCCGGATGGTGGATTATGATGCCTTGGTCAAGGTGATTGTGCCGCATGAAGAGGAGTGGCCGGACGCCAAGGAGACACCGAGTTTCAATCATCGTTTGTTTTACGGCTCTCTCAAGGAGTATCGCGCGATTGAGCCTGCGGCGGAGGAATGGGGTGATACGCTCATGTATGGCGAGGTCGTCACTAGCACGAACACCCTCATGGATAAGTATGGCCCCCTCTTCGTTCTCCTTCGATAAACCATGAAAGCCCTCTTCGCTAACGGTCACTGTCTTCCAGGAACCCCAAACTGCTCGCCCACCTCCCAACCGGCTTTACTCTGACGGCGACAACGCAAGTCGCCGGCCGCGGCCGCGGCACAAACGTCTGGGTCTCGCCAGCGGGTTGCCTCATCTTCTCGACCGTCATCAACCACCCAGCACATCTAGCTGCCTCCCATCCAGTCGTCTTCATCCAGTACATTGCCGCTATCGCCATCGTCGAGGCCGTCAAATCGTACGACACAGCCTGCGGCGACGTTCCCGTGAAGCTCAAGTGGCCCAACGACATTTGTAAGTATACTCTTGACCAGAAGTCATGAAAGCACTGCAGAGACTATCCTCTGACAACCACAAAGACTGCCGCGACCCAGCATCAACCCCCCAAGACCCCTCCTACGTCAAAATCGGCGGCATCCTCTCCAACTGCGCCTACTCTCAAGGCGCCTACCAAATCGTCCTCGGCATCGGCATCAACACGACAAACTCGCGCCCCACCACCTCCCTCAACGCCATCGCACCGGCGCCCCTGAAGATGGCGGGCGGCTTCCGTCTCGAGTCGCTCCTGGCGCGGATTCTCACCCGGATCGAGGCGCTATACGCGCAGTTCCGCCGCGAGGGGTTCTCGCGCGACCTCGAGGAGCGTTATTACAAGCACTGGCTTCACTCGGGACAGAACGTCACGCTCGAGGCCGAGGCGGGGGCCAAGGCGAAGGTTGTGGGTATTACGAGGGACTGGGGTATGTTGAAGGCTGTCGAGGTGGATGGGATGGGGAGAGAGACGGGGAGGATGTGGGCGCTGCAGAGCGATGAGAATAGTTTTGATTTCTGGAAGGGGCTTGTGAAGAGGAAGCTGTAAGGTTTTTGAACTCACTGTAGCGGTCGCGTAGTTATGCTTAAGCTTCTGTAGATGAGGAAGCTGGAGCTGGCGACTTCGTCCAGAGAGTCCATCAGACCTATGCAGATCGTATCCCACTGAGTAAGACGAATACCTTGCAATACTTGGAAGATGATCATCCTGGGCGATAAGTCAACGGGGTAACCCAGAGAGGTACAGTAAGGAAGGGTCGTAGGGAGCAAGACGAGCGTCAAATTCCCCAGCAACTACAGCCGCAAAAAGGGACTCCTGCCCAGAAGCGTAAGATGGTTATACCCCTATTCCTGAAGTGCAGAGCTACCGAGTTGCTGTAGCTGTTGCATTCGAGTCTCCATGGTGTCATTTTTTCTCTCTTGTTGTTTATACGTACAGCAGCATCACGTTCCACGCCCGATTGAAGTTGATAGTTCGTGGCATGGGATCAGTCGCGGGAGTATCCGGGTGCTTATGGTCAGCTTCATGCCCGCATCTGGATAGCTGCACGGAATGCATTACGGCTTACACCTCCAAAACTCACTCACCGAACATCTCAAATCAATATTCTCAAGCGACCCCCGTCATCAAACAATGCAAGCTCTGTTACAATCATCGATTTGTCATTGAGACATCTGCTGGTAGTCGGCTTATACGGTGCTCGAACCCCCGTTCGTGAGTCTCACCATCGGCCTTGAGAGCCCCGATCTCTCCGTCTTACACCCTCTATACGGGAACTGTGCCGCCCGTCACCTCGGAGACAATGCGGAAACAAAGTACGCGAGAAACCGCAGGGAAACATGCCATTTTAGAAACCAAAACGCCTTGGCCCACCCAATGATGACGGGCTGCATCAGCGTCGAACATCTGTGGAAGAAATAGAATAAATACCCCAAGTCTTACCATCATCATACAGATCATCCATCATGAGCGCAATTGAGATCCTCGGACGACGCCTCCATCGTTCAATACCAACGATTCGCGACGTGTCATCATCGAATCTCACCCTCAGGCTCATCATCACCACTTACGCTCGCAACAGATTCTCTCATCCCGCCGTGCTCACCCGCAACTTCACAACCACGCGAACCTTCACAGCATCACAACAACCCTTCAAAATGACGACTGAAGAACTACCAAAAGTGAAGCTCTACTGGTACCTCCCCCTCATGACACCACCGTTAATTCCCTATGTCTCATTCACCCAGAAAACTCACCGGTCCTCAGGCTCAACGACTCCCGCTCCCAAAACACCCTCTGGCTCCTCGAAGAACTCAAGATCCCCTACACAGTCCAACTCTTCCGCCGCGCCCCCAACCGCCTCGCACCTCCCGAGCTTGAAGCCGTCCACCCACTCGGCAAGGCCCCCGTGCTGGAAATCACACCACTGCCGAGCGACGAGGACCCCACCCCGGCACCGATCCGGCTCGCCGAGAGCGGGTACATCACGCAGTACCTCGTCGAGCACTTTGGCCACCGGAAGTCCGGCCTCGTGCCGCCGCGGTGGAAGGCCGGGCGTGAGGGGAAAGTCGGGGGTGAGACGGAGGCGTATGCGCGGTTTTGGTATTTGTTGCATTATGTTGAGGGGAGCTTTTTTCCTGTGATTGTACAATTTATTCTCATCAATGGTAAGCATCTCTCGCCCCCCTGCCTACATGAGCCTTTACTCCCTGCCCTCCTCCTCTGTCATTTGAATTTCTGACCTGGATTACGTGTAGTACTCAAGTCATCCAACGTCCCCTTCCTAATCCGCCCCCTCACCTCCCTCGTCGCCTCCAAAATCTTTTCCCTCGTCATCTTTCCCAACGCGCAGAAGCACCTCGCCATGCTCGAGAACTATCTCAAGACCGCGCCCGGGGTGTCACCTAGCGGCGGCGGGTTTCTCTGCGGACCAGAGCTCTCGGCCGCGGATATACTCATTAGCTTTGCGCTCATCACGGCGGACGCCGAGAATGCGTGGGACACGATGGGTAGTTGGCCTGGAGGGTCGGTGAAGGCGGCGCACCCTGTGCTGTTTGAGTATGTTGAGCGTTTGAAGAGGGAGCCTGGGTATTTGAAGGTCGTGGAGAAGGTTAAGGAGATTGAGGGGTGACGAGGCAGCGTATGAGGCAGTGCCTTGATCTGGAGTTATCTTATGATGAGGGGTTATTACTGGGTGTTGTAATGCTTTAAGTTACCAGACGAACAGAACATCCCACTTCGAATTTCAATTCATTCTCACATGAGTTTTTGCTCATCAACCGAGACCTGCTGCCTATTGAATTCGTCGCCAAGAAGATACCGTGAACCGGAGTCAGATGAGGCTTACAGGATCGCTGGACTCTGCCCCAATCAACCGATTAAAGTGAGCGGACCATGATTAGCATTCGGAATTCACCGAGGGTCGTGAGATTTTATGAGAGCTATAGTAATGGAGCACCCGGAATCTCATATTGTGTACGAGATACCAGCGCCGATGCCGAGTGAGATGATCACGGCAGCCTCGAGTGAAGTGAGGCGCATCTCCCGTCGCACCTTGCACAGACTCCCCGGCAATTGGCTGCAGCTGCCAGCGGCAGTACGGTGACATTTGATCCACCTCACCTCACGCCCAAAGAAAAGAACCCGGCTACAAAATACCTAAAAAACCACCCGACACAAATCTTCCAACCCCCCAAACGCGAAGACAAGCTTCCAGATCGGCTCTGTTAGTTCCCCGGTAAGATACTGACACGGCCTCCTTGAGGTACCGGACTTATAGACGCCGGCAAGCGCAGTCTCCGTCATCAAGCTTCTTGCTCCCATGAGCCTTTTGTGCGCTGCAACAGGAGCAATCGATGCAGGCGCAGAACATATCGCTATGGCAGGGATGACGGGCCGGAAGTCTAGGTGTCCTCAACGCTGCCTCACCACCCCACCATAAATCGCCATAAAATAGGGCGGACGATTCTTTGGCGTCTCTTGGCCACCTCTCTGATGAGATGTCGTTAGCCGAGTGGACTTGAAAGGCAAAAGGACGCAAAGAAGAAGCTCCGGGGATGCAGAGAGTAGCCGTGTCGGGACTACCTAGAGGAGAGGGTGGATGGGCGAGAGATGCATGACCTGACAATGGTGGGCAGAAAATGCAATCGCCGTTGTCCGCCAACATCGCCATCGCCATGAATCGTCTGGTCCCGTTCGTCCACCACGCAATTATTCGCTCATTCATACTCTACGACAACAGACAGAAACAGTGGGCGATTGCGTGTTGAACTATCGCAACGAACCTTGAGACGAAGCATGCCATCAGACTAGAACATTGAGAAACAAACCGGTCCCACCAATCGGCGCGGCAATCAAGCCAGGTCCTTCCGGATCGGGAAAGTCCCGGACGGCACTCCGTGCTGCCATGCCACCATCGCATGCGGGGTGGCACATGTGGTCGCGGGATTTGCGGTGTGGAGGGGTCGAGCAAGAATGGAGGTGCATATTCAGATGCCTGCGGATAAGAGAAGGCAAAGGTTTGTGTGGCATCTCTGACCCCGCATCGATGAATTCGACAGCGACTGGTGCGCGAACTCACTCGAGTTGGAGACGTCTCTTCTTTTCCATTTCTGTGTCTCGTCTCCCTTTCGAGATTATCGTGAGATGACAGCCGGAACTGTTTCACTCTCAGCCATTGAAATATGTACTCCCGTTTCATCAACATGAGATGACAGCTGAGGTGAAGCTGAAAAGGTGACAGGACAATTCACTCACGAACCGTTCAACGAAGCTGAGTAGCTGGAACTTGGACGACCCTCCCCTCCCCCTCCATCGGCCTCTCCCGCCGAGAACCCCAAAGGAAACAGAGGTCCATCCAATCGCGATCCCAGCCGTTTAGCCTGGGGCTTGCATCTGGCACACTTGACACTCACTCACTCACCTTCCCTTTTGCCTTTTCGGGCAGACATGGACAAGTCCACAAAACCCACACACACATGCGCACACTCAAAGGCAGACAGATTGACACATCCACACACCAGGAGCCTATGCGCCCGCGCTGACGAATTGAGTTGATTCTTCTTCACTTCGATGCGGAAGCCTCTCCACACCCGGGGACGATGGGTGGGCCGGGACTCGGGAGATGCTACTCCAGGGTCCTTTGCCGGGCTAGGTTGTTCGCCGCAAGAAGCCAACCCCGGGATGGGGGGGATTGAATGTGGTCCCGCATGACGAGCATGGAGCTTCCTAACATAGTAGTTGAGACTTTTCTCATATCTGCTATGAAAGACGCCAGCTCTGCTCTCAGGCACCGTGAGAGTTGATACCTATCGTGGCCTTCTTCCTTTCTCGATGTCATCGTCGTGAGTCTAGAATTCTTGGAAGGCAGTCTTGAAGGCATGTAATTCCTCAGTAGACACAAGGCGCGAAAGACCGTGGGCTTCAAGATCATCAATATCCGACTGATCGGCGACTACCGCAATCGTCTCGTTCACGATGTCGAACTCCAGCATCAATGCCAACCTCACACACCCTCACACACCGTCGTCGTCCTCAACATTATCACCGACGGTTCTCAAGGAAATCGTAAGTCACAGTGCCATTCATCTTCTCGAATGACTGTCATCTTACATTGCATCACAGCAAGATGCAAACGTCCCCCTCTTCATGACGGGCCTCCTCCTCCCCCACGCCCTCTGCACCATCTTCATCGCCTCCCGGATAGCCTCCCGTCTTTGGGTAACTCGCAAATGGTTCCTCGACGACACACTCATTCTCATCGCATGGCTCTTCTCCACGGCCCTCTGCGTAGTCTACAGCATCACCGCTACCACGCCATCCCTCCTCGGCGCCACTTCACCATCCTCAACTGCCACCGCCGACACCGACGCAAACCCGTACATCATGCGAACCTACCTAGGCTTGGTATATTACCAACTTGCCCTCTGCCTCACAAAGCTCTCCATCCTAGCCTTGTATCTCCGCGTCTTCGCATCCTCCTCCCGGCCCCGCGAACGCCTCCTCGCCCGCGCCGCCGTCGCCTTCGTCCTCCTCTACACCCTCCCACTACTTCTCATGTCCTTCCTCCAATGCAACCCCGTCCAAGGCCAATTCTTCAGCCGCCCGACGCCTGTGTGCTTCCGCTTCCCAGACCTCCTCATCGCCAGCGCAAGCCTGCACTCCGCAACAGACGCCTGGCTCGTCGCCATGGTCGTCCCCTCCGTCGCACGGCTCGACCTCCCGCGCCGCCAAAAGATTGCCCTCGCATCCGTCATGAGCCTCAGCGTTTTCGTAATTGTAGCTAGCATGGTCCGTTTACAGCTCAGCCTCCACCTGCACTACCGGCCCACCGACGACGCCGGCGTCCGCAACACACTCGGCTTCTTCGTCATGACGGTGTTGGAATGCGATCTCGCCCTCATCTGCGCCAGCGCACCGACCCTCCGCCCCTTGTTGGCGCGCCTCTTCCCTTCCGTGATGATGAGCGGCGCAAAGCGGCGCTCGCTCGAGGCCGGCGGCGCCGAGACGCAGAGCTTTGATCTTACTAGCCTGACCTACCACGGCTACCCCTGGACGGAACCCAGCACGCCCGCGGGGTTAGCGGCGCGGAGCCGGAACGCGAGTATCGCGAGCCACTTAAATAAGCTGCGTATGCCGGCGCCGCCGCTGCCGACGCTCACCATGGCGCAGCTGGGCCCCGCGAAATTGAGTCTGGGGAATCTTTTGATTACGGGTACGGCGCCGCGGAGGCCGGGGCGGAGTTGGCATGTTGCGGAGGACGGGAAGCCGATTCTGTTTGAGACGGCGGAGAGGAGGGGGATGGGGGCGGCGGGGTATAAGACGCAGGCTTCGTCGATTTATTCGCAGGATATGACGTGTAGTGGCGATGAGTCGTGGCGGGAGGAGGAGGAGTTCGAGAAGAAGGGTGGGGTGATTCTCAAGACTATGAGGTTGAGTCTTCGGTCTGAGTATGCTACGCAGAATGAGACAGACGGAGTAGACAAGGAGATTGCGGGGAGCATCGACCGTTCGAGTCCGACTTCTGGGTTCAGTGGTGATACTTGGGCCGTTGACAGAAGCAGCTCAGGGACGGCCGGGGGTGATGGAAGCGGTGGGCGAACACGCATAGGGAGATTTGTGGAAGAGATACCCAGGGAAGAAGCAGTTGGGACGCCAGAGGTTCCCAAGAGGAGTCCCCTGAGAGATAGTCGACGAAGATAATGACCAATACAGATTGACGATTTGATGACTCTAATGAAGGCTCCCCTCCACAAACCTCTTAAAGTCTTTCCCCTGCGTCTCAAACCTTTCTTGTAGAGTACCCTTCAGCGGTAACAGCGTCGTCGCCCCGGGTAGGTAATAAGTCTCATACGACACCATCCTGACCGACCCATTCCCCAAATCCGTCAACAGGTTCGGATGCTCCGCCGGCAGAAACGTGCCACCAAGTCCATCGTCGTTTCGCCACACGTTGAGGGCTCTTGTAGCGCCGTCGTCACAGCCGCGCACATCCGGCGCAAGTAAAGTGATGACCTCCGTCGAGGACGTATTGACACCGGGAATAATACCAGCTGTGGTGAAGTTCATCGATAACCCGGGGTACACGTCCCCCGGACCGGTCACCTCGGGCGGCAGACCGACGTCGATGACAAAGGTGTTCCAGGTGCTGTACCGACGGAAGTCGAGGAGCGCGTCGTAGATCTTGTTGATGGGTGAGTTGATAACTTCTTCGGTGCAGACTGTGAAGAGCGCGCCTGTGAGGTCGTATGTGGGCGTGGGGAGGATGGCGCTGGAGCTGCAGCGTAGGGAGGCGATTTGGGACAGGGAGGCTGAGGCGGTGGTCGCGTAGAGCCAAGTCCTCTTAATGAGGCGCATTATGTTGAGTTTTGGGAACGTTTTCTCTGAAGCTTAGCTTTCTCTACATGAAGAACAGTGAAAGACCACAAACGTGAGGGAAATGCTGGTAGCGGTCAAGGGTAGGGCATCAATGATGTAGCTGTCTGGGGTCTTTCAGCTTACAGGTCGGTACCCAGGCGAGCTGAAAACTCCATGACGTGGCCATGCAGACACGAGCGCCCACTACCTTACATGAACCCTCAGGCACACATAGGGAGAATGGGTACTTGGCCAGACGTGAACACGCAGCAACTCTTCTCCCTTCTTAGCTGACGATCCTACCTACCTCAGCCATGTGGAAATTGCGAGAGTCGTGACATCCGAGTCTTGGTCTTTGCGATCTCAACTTTCACTTTTGGTTGGAGTGCTAGACAATTATCACATGTGAGTAAACATATTCACAGAGGAATATGGAATGCAACGTTAAGCCAATTCGAGATCCTCGCTCTCTATGGACCAGAAGTTAAGTGAAGTGGAATTGTTGTATATTGTGTATTATCAAGCCACGGAGATTTTAATTATGCAGCGTTTTCAACACCCTCTTCGTGCGGGATAAGTTCTGTTTGTGGGAATGTCCACGAGGAAAGTTCGAGGGGAGGCAAATCCGTTGATAAGTTGAAGTCAAACATTCCAAGTTCATCCGGTCTATGTTCCACGCTTGGTAGATCGTGATCTACGGGGAAATCCGTTGTTGAGGGCTGGCCCACGGGCACCGGTTGATGCAAACTGGCAAAAGGTTGCAAGCCAAGCACTGCCCCCTCATCTGACCCCAGTGTTTGGGGATCCGTTGGAACATCAGTAGGTCCTGGTCGAATGTTTCGCTGTGGGTTGGATGCAGTTGCGAATGAAGCTGTCCTTGGTTGGAAGTGACTTCCTATCCCAATACCGCTGTCCACCAACGACGCAGCAGGTGTCTCATTGCGTGTCTCATTGCGTTTTCGACCTATTCCTGAATCCGAAGAGCCATTCGTGCTGAAAGTATCACAGACGGAATCCAAAGACTCTGAAATGACTCTCCTTAAGAGCTGCTCCTGGTCGGCGGCCACCCTGCCTTCATCTAACAGTCCAGCAGCACGAAGATTCTGGACAAGGAGCGGCTCCGCGTGTCGTGCACAATACTCCCGAAACAGACAAACTTGCATGGCAAAAGCGGAATCTAGATAAGCGGATTCAGGGCGTGGCTTCTGGGGGAAAACGATATCCCAGATTGCGAACCATTGCTGCCCTTCCGACAACTCCGCGTTTGCCTTTCTAGAGAGGTCGCGGCTTTGTCTATGAGTAATTCCATCTAGCGTTCTCCCCTCGGGCGCGAGTTGGCAACCGAACCCATCTGGTTGCGACACGTGCTGCGTGAGGCTTTCTTCGTCATCAAAGATGCTCAGGCAGCGGTTGCAATAATCATCGGGGGTGTGCTTTCTCTTCAGGTGCTGCTTGACGTCCCGGATTCGTTTGAGCTGGAACCGCGAGCAAGCGGAATATTTGCTGGGGCTCATCTTCCCAAATGGACAGGCCAGAAGCTTGATGTGCTGTTGCGTTTTCTTGGACCTCTTTGACGATCTCTGATGGTTCGCGTCCTCTTCTGAGTCCGAATTATTATCTTGGACCAAATTTCTCTTTCGACCTTTTCCTGTAGGTCTTGAAGGTACAGCAATGCCACGAGACGACAACGACGAAACCATTTCGTGATCTTGTCCATTGTCACAAGGTGGAACTCCTCCACCAGTTGCATATTGAAAGACTGAAACGAGGCGGGAAACCACGATGTCCAAGACTGCCCGTATTGGATCGTCATCTGCTAGGGGCTCAAGTTCTTCTGATGAATCTGACATCGATAGCAAGTCAGATTCTAATGAGGATTCGGTCGATTCACACGGATGAATCCCGTATGAGTGTTGGCACGAAGCCCGGGAATTGGCATCATCGTCCCACGAAAGGCTGGAGACCATATTCATGTCCCCAGTTTCTACTGTGAGCTTCTCCGACGACGCTATGCTCTTCGGGGACTCGGCTCCATGTGTCCCCATTATCAATGAGCTGGAGACGCTGTGACATGAGCTGTCATTGCCGATGGAACTAGATCCCCCCCTAAGGTTGGCACGGAGTCATCTGAGAAATGTCAAAACTCCATTGTTGAAGCTGATATGTTGGATCAAAGACATTGTGTGATACTGCTTACCTTCGTCCAGACAGAACCCTTGGCAATGTCCAATGATATGACGGCCGCTCAGGATCTTCTCTAAGTCAATGGTTCTTCCGCTACACGCACCTCTGTCCTGATTGCCTAGGGTCGAGCAATGGCAAGAGGGTCTCTCAGCACTTTGGGCTTCATGCCAAAGATACATATTTTGGACTTGCTTCACAAGTAAAAGCCTTCTTCGTAAGCCATTCAACACCAGCCTGGCTGTGAAAGCACATCTAGAGAATGACCCCAGTAACTCCATGAGATAGCGAGGAGAGACCTCGATACCGTTAAAAGCATTTGGTCGGCGCAGGATAGGGTAACCTGGAACCAGAACAACGTTATCGTTTCTTAGTAACTCTGTCCATCGAGACTGCCCCAGCAGTGCAAACTCGTCAGGAACAGGTTTTTCGACTCCGATATCAAACCATAAACGCCCCTGATGAGGTTAGAATAAACGAAACCACCACTCTTCTAAAGTTATATGCCTACATGCAATGTAGCCATTTTCATGATGACGGGGATTCGTTGGGCGGTATTGCTCATACCCTGTTGAGGAGGTGGGTTTGCGTATGAAGCCCGTAACCAGGCAAGCTGCTCACCACACTCTGCAATGGTATGAGCAGGACCATCAAGACTCATCATGAGGATACCGTGCTCAGATGATACTGATACCTGAGTCTTATCATGCAAAACATCTGTACTGCGGTGAACATACATTCCTTTCCAGCCCAGCATAAGAGCTTACCTGCATAAACGTGGCCATTGGGACGGCGAGACACCGTCTGCAGCAAGTTGAAGATCGTTTTCCATGTTGAAGGCCATGTTTGCTCCATGTAATCCTCAACAATTGCTGCCTGGGCATCCCCTGAGCAATATATTACAACCACGGCCTTGTATAGGGACCTTTCAAATTCGTATCTGTCCATTTCAAGTCTGCGAAGGAGTGCCCACCCCGGCACTCGAAATGTTACAGAGTGGGTGGTTGGTGGCCGGTTTTTGCTAATCTTTCCAGTTGGGAGGTTCTCTATGACCTTGCGCCGTATCATTTCACGATGATTACAACCTTCCGACTCATCAAAATCTCGCTTGAGTGTCAATTCTCTTCGCAGGCTTTCGATAAGCCACTTGAATGAATCGCTCTCTGTAACGGTCTTGTTGTACTTGGATAGTTCCGGCGCGTCGATGGTCTCTTCCACGTCTGTAACCCCCACGAAAAGCTCGTCATCGTTGACAGGGGTCTCTGTACCCGTGGCCTTGCTGACCCACAAGGCCATCTTATCACTTAGGAGCATGTTGTCTCTCTTGGCCTCGATACCCTCGCCAGCATCCTCTGCTGGAGGGTCGACACTGAGAATCATTGAGTCAAGTCGCGTCGCAATTTCACTGTCTTGTTTCAGTCTTCATTCAAACGCGTCCAAACACGTTGACCTAACAGGGCACGTACCGGCTACGTTTGTGTATGAAGTGCATGATGTCTCGGTTCACCTGGACCGAAGATTCTAGGCCAATTTTAATGGCAAAGTCCTTGATGAGGCCCGACACTCGATCAGACAGTAGCCTCCAGTTGTCTCCGTCAATGTTTCCGCCGAGATTGCCGTGGATAGTGCTGGACAACTCGAAAATGTATTGCTGCGCTTGGTCTATTGCAACAGTACTATCTCTAAAGTATACAGTCTTTGCATCCGGATACTTTCTGTCGTAGTCGGAGGTAGCAGCAACCCCCAATTCCATTCGCGGGAGATCATCAAGGTTGATGCCAGACGAATATCCGGAATCAGTGAACGGGACGTCCTGCTTCGGAGTAGGCGGCAGGGGCGGAAAATAGATCTCTTCCATTCCTGTATCCTCGAAAACGTTGTCACTACCTTCAGCTTGCATGCTCTCATCTACAGGAAACAAAAAGCCGCCTGCCATGCCAGCCAAGTTGTCGTAGGGGATATCACCGCCCAGGAAACTTGTCCACGTGATTCCTGAGGCAAGGGATTCAGCATCGGAGTTTGCCTGAGCCTCTGAGAGTGGTATGATCGATTGAATTCTCGGCTCTGGCGACTGCGAGACCTCGCGGTCGTCATTCTGTTGCACTAAAAGGGGCAATTTGCTATCATTGAATGCCGACTGAACATTCCATTTTCGAGGTCCGATATCCTGTGTTGTGTCAACGAACTGTTGGAAATAAGAGACCTCCTGCGCTTCCGCCTTTCCATTTCCGACTCGCCGCATCAGTTCTTTAAGGTCGGAATTTCGTGACGCCAATCCCGCTAACCTCAGAATGACAGAGTCGCCAGTGGCCAGCTGTTTATCAGAGCTTGTGGCCATTTGAGGCCATGTGATAGAATGTTCAATGGCGTCAGTTTCGGTTGGCTCTGGGGCAACAAGCAATTTGGAAGCAGACTGGATGTCAGACTGCATCTTCCGGAAATTGGCCGGCTGGTGCTCTTCCTGACCAGCCTGATCGACAGGGTTCGACGATAACATCGTTCCTGCAACTGAATTGAAGCGGACTGATGAAATAAAAGTCGGAAAAGAGTAGTTGAGGATTGTCAATTCGCGCTCTGGTCTGGAAAGGGTTCCAAAAATAAGATTAAAAAACCTGCCGACACAATGGCTGTGATAGTTTTAGACACCTCTGCTTGCGAGAGGAACAGATTCATGGCAAGAAGAAGAGATAAAAGAGAAATGCTAGCTTCTACAGACCGATGCTAAGGCGCTTATGGCCCTTGTCACCTAGGGGTTCTACATGCCGGTGCCTCATTCGTTAGAATGATCCCGACCAAGAAGTTGGGGGCAGGAAATTCTACCAATCACGACCAACCTAAAGCACAATAGTGCTCTTCATGTTGAAGATGGTTCTTGTGCTCTGCTGGACTGCGATTGCCAGAGGCTTTTGGGCGGGTTCGCGGTCAACGATCAAGACTCCACGTCGCAATCTTGTGCTATGGATTCGGTCTTGGAAGAACACTGAGCGCAATTAGCAGTATACTGACATTCAAGAAGCAAGAGATGATCAATTCAATCAGAATGAAGTTCCCAATAGAGAGACACAGAAATGACGTCGACCAGGATTACGATTTTGTAAAATATCGAGATCTTGAAACGAAGAGTATTCGATTCTGTTCAAAATACCACCTGGCGTTGCAATGTCGTAAAGATCGAGTTCGTTGCGGACCAAGGCCGATGGCATTCAGTAAGTCTTGCGTTAATACTACATGCTCTGCTGTCCCATTATAACGATTGGACCATCCTCAATGGTCAGACGATTGTTACCGAACGTCAAAAATGAGTTCACTGGCTGCATGAGCAAAAGATTCCGAAACCGAGAATCGAACTCGGGGCTATGCCTAACCTCTCACCAAGATGAGAGGGCATCATGTTGGCCACTACACCATATCGGATGTGGATACTGCTGCGAGCCTTCAGATTCACTGAGTAGGTAAGGATCATTTGTTCCATCGGGTTGAATAGCGAAAGTCGAAGTTGTCCGTAGTCCAATGAGCTCTGAATAGGGAAAGTGCATATTGAGCTTCGGCTTGTGGAAATTGCGTGGCAGTTGGAGCTCATACTCAACGTGAACTAGCCCCGAGCGACCCCAACCCAGAGAAGAGTTAATGCCGCCAACACTAAGCCATGTTGATATGGTGGCAAGTCACTAGCAACTCTGATTGGAGACCTAGTGAGTTCTGAGTCCGACCGCGTGGCTCTACTTACTTTTGGGGAAGTACTAGTGCAGGGGTAACAAGTCTTCGGGTCTACTCTAGACCTTGATTTGGGACTATTCACTGCTTCGCGCCCTGTAATAAAATCATTCTCGAAGTGGCTTACCTCAAACCGAGATACAAATCTTACAAGATCTCCCGCCTTGCCCAGAAAATAATCTGCTGTCATTCTCGCGCCTTTTCTTCGCTTCTATGTGTCACAAACATGGCTCACACTCGTTTCAATCTACACACGGCAGCCCGCCTCTTGTTCTCTGTTTTGCACCTTGTAAACGCCCTTCCCAGCAACCCTCAGATTCAGTCCCGGGATGGCACATACACATACTTGGCATGCTATACCGACGCGGTAGCTGGTCAACGAACGCTGGAAGGGCCAGCAACCGCCGACGACACCATGACAGTTGAGAAATGCAGCTCCTTCTGCTCAAAGTACAGCCACTTTGGCGTCGAGTATGGCAGAGAATGCTACTGCGGTAACACAATCCAGACTCAAGCACTTGTAGTTGCCCGAAGCGAGTGCGGCTTCGCCTGCTCTGGAAACCCTTCGGAATTCTGCGGCGCTGGAAACCGTATGGATGTTTACACCAATCTAGGGTTCTCTAGTCCGAAGCCCGCCACGCTCGTCGACCATGTCTACTTGGGATGCTTCATCGACAACGGCGACCGGGTGCTTCCCAACAAGCCCTTCGCCTCCGACACCATGACAGCGGCATTCTGTGCTCAACACTGCCAGGGTTACACCTACTTCGGTACGCAGTGGTCGCGAGAGTGCTACTGCGGTAACGTGGCGCCGCAGTCTGCTGCTTCAGAGTCCGAATGCTCATTCACTTGCTCCGGGTCCGATGCCGAACTCTGCGGCGCCGGCATGAGACTCAGTGTTTACGGACCGCCGGCGGCATCGTCGCTCCCCGGTCCGACTCCCTCTCAGGGTTCCACGCCCTCTATCGTTTCACCAGCGGCGGCAGTGGCTGTCTCGGGGTACATCTACCAAGGTTGCTACACTGATAACCTGCCTCAGCGCGTTCTCACGGGAGACCTTGTCCGCAATCCCGCGATGTCCCTCGAGAAGTGCGCCTCGTTCTGTAACATCTCCCACTACACCTACTTCGGCGTCGAGTTCACGGGAGAGTGCTATTGCGGGATGTCTTTAGATACAGCCAGCACGAAACAGGCAGAGGTTGCATGTGCGATGAAGTGCGGCGGTGACGGCACGGAGATCTGCGGTGACGCCAACCGCATATCGATTTATGCCATACCGCAAACATCAACTATTCCGGTCGTCAAGAACCTGGCAACCGTGGGCGGCTTCTACTACTCCTCTTGCTGGGTCGATAACGTGGATGGGCGTCGCTCGCTTTCTGCAAAGGACTACAGGGCCGACGATATGACTGCTGAAAAGTGTGCTAGTTTCTGTCAGGGGTACAGCTACTTTGGTCTGGAGTACTCTCGAGAGTGCTACTGCGGCAACACTGTCGGCGGTTCCATGGCTTCAGAAAAAGAATGTGGGCACATCTGCGTGGGAGACTCTTCGCAATGGTGCGGAGGGGGCGATCGTCTCAGTCTCTACAGCATCAATCCACCTGTTCCTTCGTCATCGTCGTCCTCTACGACCTCGACCAGCTCACTTGACACAGCGAGTGTTGCCACATCTGGAGCAACCTCGTCTACTCAGGATACTTCTTCAAGCTCCTCCAGTCTTGCAGTATCTACAACCTCAACAAGCCTGGAGTCTTCTGCGACTACGACTTCACCGACTGCCTTCTCTTCATCGGAAACTACAGGGAGCTCATCAACCTCGACTTCCTCCATTTTTGACAGCTCCGGAACTTCTTCAACCCCTATTTCCACTACATCGAGCACCTCGAGCATATCTACGTCCCTAACGTCGACCTTTACCTCGTCCTCCACTTCTTCAGTATCAATCTCATCTTCTAGCTCAAGTGTCAGTAGTAGCTCAACAAGCAGCAATGGCATCGTTTCCAGTTCTACCACAAGCTCGACTGCAGCTGCAACAAGCGCCTGCAACCCCGGCTACCGAAATGACCTGACCGCCACATTCTCAAAAACATTCGGCAGCGCCTTCGACCTTCAGACATGGGCGGTGACCACCTCGTCCCAAACTGCTTATTCGTATGTCCAAGGTGACGCAAATGCTCTAGCCTATAACATATCTTTCGCCTCCGTCAACGCCGTCCGTACCACAAAGTTTGTTCAGACCTTCAACGTCGTAAGAGGCGCAACGTATCAGGTCTCCCTCCGATGCCAACTAGGCGGGACGACGAGTCAATCTCCAACTGCCGTGGTGCAAGTTGCCGCCCCCTCGACCACTGTTCAACCAGTCGTGACCCAGTCAGCCGACCCTCAGCAGATTCAAAGCTGGCAGATAATTACCGCTGTGTTCACACCGGCTCTCGATGCTATGACCGTCACGATCAGTGCGACAAGTCCGAGAAGTGCAGTGGCGTGGGTGACTCTTGACAGCCTCGAAATCAAGATGATTACGCCCACGACCAACGTCGCGCCAAGAGTGAACGGGGACGTTCTCACACTCGCAGACGTTCGCTCAGGCGCAGTCACATTTCCCAGCTGGCTCAAGAAGCCCACAGAAGGGAACATCGTCTACGGGGCCAAGCCTGTTCTCGGGTTCGCGTCACCGGGGTACAACGGTGCGGCAACCTCGCGGAGTGTATGGCTCAATAATCAACCGGCATTAACGGCAAATTCTGGCGGGCCGTCATTCTACATTGCCGGGTACGGGGGAGACGGTTTGCAATATCAGAAGTACGTAATGCGGACGCGTGTGCGATCTGTCAGTAGCCAGGGCTGCTATCTGTCCATGATTAGCTATGATGCGGGACGTAATCAAGTGGTGGCTGGATATTTTATGATGGATGGCTGCGAGCAACAGTGGCAGACGATTGAGTCGGGGTCTTTTACACCTGCTTATGACTTGCTGATCCAGGCGCAGTTCAGGTGTCCTTTCTCTCTTGGGTTGAATGCGACGTTCTGGCTGGACAATATTGAGATGGTGCCAGTTGCTGGTTAAAAGCAGGTACATGTAATGACTTGGGCTCCTCGATTCCAAACTGTATGGCAATATTACTAGACCCTTTTAATGGCTGCATATGTTGGGAAAAGATGTGTAATTTTGTATCAATTCGCAAGTGAACAATAGTTGCTTCCGAAGTTGACTATTCATGTTGGTAGCCAACGGTGTTGTTGCTTCGTAAGGTAGGCAAAGTTGAGATGGAACTGATCAACCCATGTCGTTGCGCAACTCTGATCGTGGGATGTAACAGCTCTCATCGCGCACCTAAGCTTAACATAAGTCCAATACGGCTTGCAATTACGTCACGTAGCGGAATGTCTCAAGAAGATCATCGAGGAAATTTCAGCTGTTGATCGAACGAGAAAGCCCGCAGGTATATTGCTGTGGTCATCGTCCGTTTTGTGTCGCACTCTCTCCGAGACTGCTCCCTGTTCTTGTCGCTTGTACTTGACGCAGCCCCTAAGTGCTATCCGTACCCGTTCTCAGCAGGACCCATATTAAAAGTTGTCTCAGCACTCAAGTTCCATTGACTAAACATGAAATCCATTGTCGCAACTCGCCGCCATTGCTCTTCAACGCGGCGCAAAAAGTTCGAATATGTAGGCAACTTTTGGATGAGATACTCATGGTCTCACTAAATTATCGAATCGCCACTGAAGATCTGCCCGAAGTTGAATAACTTTCTTGATTCATGCCAAAACTTTCGCAACTTGTCGATGGCTCTTGTGCCAAAGACAACAGTCGCATGACGATTCCCCAAAGCCGAAACGGAAAAGAATGGGAAAAAGAAAATTCTTCTCCCTGTTAAGCAGTTGCATCTGCCCGGTCTAATCAAACTCGGTGGGTTGACCACGCGGCAATCGCCCCCGGGTGAACGGACTTGAGTTCCGGGCAGAAATGATGTCGCACGGCGCGGGCAGAGAAGCGCACGAACCACTGAGCATTGCTGCTCGCGCACAGCGGGTAGCAACTGTGAGAGTTTTTGCTAGGGATTGTTTATTTTCACATCGGAAACAAAAATAGCCACTGACTCGTGGGAGACAAAAGTATGGTGCACTTTGGAGTCAGGCTTGGCTCAACCACATCACATCACAGGGGAACAAGACAAGATATTTTTCCAAGAAAGGCTGTCATTTATACAGGCTGTAAAGAAGATAAGGTATCTACAGAATCGAAAGCTGCCACTAATTCCACTGCCACTGGGGGTAACCTTGACCCGGGGCGAAATGGTTTATTTTAGAAGAGCGTAACAAAGTCATATCCTAAAAGCGGATATGGCTTAGATCTTGCCGTACCCAGCAGCGCTGCTGGAGACGGAAGAGGCGGCAACGGCGTCGGGGATATCGGCGCTGCCAAACTTGTTGAGGACGCTGGTGTCGGTGCCGGTGAAGGTGCCGGAGCTGGAGAAGCTGTTGGCCTGGCAAGAGCGGCCCATCTTGGAGGAGCAGTCGGCAGCGTTGGAGGAGGTGATGGCGAGGGTGGCGCCGTCGCCGCCGGCCTCGATGACGGTCGCGACGTTGCTGAAGACGTTGCCCTCAGCGAGGACGTAGCCGCCGGAGGTGACCTCGAAGCCGTGGCCGGTGGAGTCGGACCAGTAGTTGTTCACGGCGTGGACGAAGGAGTTTCCGTTGACCTTGGGGGCACGGCCTAGATTGGTGAGTTAGTTTTCTGGTGCTTATGCTGATGTGATTTTCCTTTCTCGCTGACTTACCAGAGAAGTGGTGGATGTAGTTGTTCATGTAGGTGATGGTGTCGCTGGAGCCGGCGAAGTAGTTGACCCAGTAGTGGTAGCCGTCGCAGGTGGCGGAGTAGTCGCTCTGGCCATCGAACTCGGAGTTGGAGACGGTCACCTTGCCGGAGGCAGAGGTGCCGAGAACAAGGTGCTGGCGGCCAATCTTGGAGGTCTAGAGTCGAGGTTGTTAGTTGATTGCAATTTCAGATTTCAGACTAGTGAGCACTTACGGTGACGTGGTCGATCCAGACGTTGTCGGTGGTGTCGAGAGTGATGGCATCACCACCCCAGACGTACTTGGGGTTGATGTTCTCAATCTTGATGTTCTGGATGATGACGTTCTCGGCACCGGCGATTCTCAGACCCTTGCCGACAATGACACCCTTGGAGCCGGATCCGATGATGGACTTGTTGGAGGCAACCTTGATGGGGTTGAGACCGGCCTTGTTGTAGGTAACAGAGACGGAGGGGGCGCTGGACTGGTAGTTGTCGCACCACGAGTCCTTGTTGATGGCGACCTGGCAGGCGGAGGCGGTTCCCCAGGGAGCGCAGCCGGTCTCGGTAGCGGTGCCATCCTCGTCGGTGAAGTCGAAGGTCTTGGTCAAGACGATGACACGGGCAGACGAGTCGCCGAGGTACGAGACCAGCTCGTCGTTGGTGGTGGGGGTGACGGCAGTCGCAGAGCCTCCGCCGGTGGTGCCAGAGGCAAAACCCTCGGGGGTACCGGTGACGGAGACGGCAGCAGCCTGCTGGGCAAGGGCCGCAGCGGCCAAAAGGAAGGACTTGGCGAACATCTTGGAAAAAAAGGTGTAGAAAAGAGTTGAACGAACGAAAGAATGAGTGACTGTGGGAATGAAACAACAAGAGAGAACGGATCGACAGACCAAGGCAACCTCGAGTTGATATACCATTGAAGGCTACGATAGAAACTGGGTCTTTCGACGAGCTCACCCGAGCCATTGGATCACCCTATTCCCATAGAGTCCATCAACTTGCCATCGACAACACGATGGATTAGGCCATGACATGGATTGTTGGTCGCTGGCCGCGTAGTACGGGCCCCGTATGTGATGCGGGCGCGTAAACAACCATGGAATTGAATATATGACGGGGGCTTCTCACTCCACACAGAAATCCAATGACAGAACCAACGGTTACTGAAACAGGCAATGATGGCTGGTCATCCGCAGCGCCATCCCGGACGTCTAGAGTGTGGTCGCGGCGGTTCGTGGCACAGACCTAATCAATGTAAAGCTCCGATCGACGCAAGACGGAGTACGTTCTGTGTGACATTAATTCTGCCAGGTCCACCCCATCCTGCCACGCGGGTCCGTCCCGAGGGAAACGAGCCTCTCACAGGCTCCCAGAAACCACCATAAACCACAAAAAATCCCATCAGCATCCAGGTTTGGGGTCCTTTGCGGCTCCGTAGCTCACTTCCCAAGTTTCCATATGTTGGAGCCCGTGTTGGCACTGGTCAAAATACCCCTGACTTCCCGCAGCGGAGAATGCTCCCCCCACCACCCGAATCAGAAATTCACAAAATCGGTTCAGGGGGTGTCCGTCAGACAACGTACGAGTCCCAATTCGCGAGGCTTTCGTATCCTCTATGTTTAGCCATGACAGCCTCCCGGGCAATAAAGCTACTACGAGATGGAGCTGCAGGAGAGACAACATGGAACCCGCACGGCAGTTGCCATCACGCATTGAAATCGCCCCCTCCCCTCCTCACCACCGGACCCGGGACTAAGGATCGTGGGGGACTTTATTTCGTCTGAAACTACGCTGTATTCGGAACTCACCGACACTGAACAGGGAACGACCAGGTGGAGAAATGCCAGCAAACACAACGTGACGTGACATGAGAGAGAGAATCGGAGCCGAGTAGGGACTGGGCCATACAGATACACACACAAACACACACGCACGGGAACGATGAAAGTTTTGTGGTTCACTGTTAACTTTTTGGGCGGGCCCGACACAATGCAACCAGGAACCGCATTCTCTCTCCCCTGAGAAGTAGCAATAGGGGAGCCGAGGGCAGTGTATGGTATTGATGGCGGCCAGACCCCGTTGGAGCGGGTTGTTGCATCATTCGACGTTAGGCGAGTCTTTCTCGGTTCATTGTGACATGCACTGCAACGCTGTTTTGAGTTTAAGCCGCTGAGCCAGACTTTGTCTTTAATATCGATTGTTCGCGAAGCCGCGACACAAACCAATATATTCAACTGGGGACGCGTAACATGTCGGTGAGGTGCCGAGGCAGAAGAATGAACTTTGGTCTCTGGTTGAGGTCATGCTCAGCCGCGCCGATGGGAGACGAGCGACGAGGCGGATTGTTTCCAGGGGTTCCCGGCCGAGATCTTTTTTTTTTTTTGGTCCACGTAATTCCCCTGTTTGTCCAGTCTTGCCTCCACCTTGGCGATGGTTCGAAGGCAACGATGCATGAGCTGTCGAGGAGACAAATGAGTTAATATGGCAAAGAAGTGAATGAGATTGAAATGCGTCAGTCGATGCACGAAGAACGGAGTTATCCTGATTACTACCGCCATCGTCGGAAAGTATAGACGAGTGAGGTTTGTATCGTTGCATGGATCTCATAAAAAAGTCATGCACCCTGCCAGTCGCTCGCAAATGAGGCAGGAGTGCTCCGTAGATATTGTTTCATCGAAGCCTTTGAAGACATTTGCCAAGAACGCCAAGAACAATCTCAAGGAACCAGACGGATGCAATCCGATAATTGTCAATATCAGACTAAATATTGAGTTGACTATACTCCGTACATAAAGTCTTTGTAAACCGACTATACAACACGTATATCCTGAGATGAATATCTCGAAAGCTACATCGATCTGCACGCGCTTAGATCGGGCGCTTTCGATTTTGTGTATTAAGGTTGTCTTGTAATGCTACGCCATCGCCAGGTAGCCCTTTTCGCTGAAGACGATAATAGACAGTGCTATAACAAGATTAACCGGGGTGCCGCGTTCCCACAGTCCGAAACTTTCTGCTGATAAACCATATCCACCCTCTAGAGCGCACGTCCGGGGCAGTTGTCGAACTCTGTTGCGCACCGGCAACTCCAGAGTCAGTGGTGTTTTTTGAGTTCAACTCGCACTGCATGCGCAAAGTCAATTTGACTGCCGCCAAGACTTTTTTTTTTTTTTCATAGGTTGGCTTATCCGTTCTGCTGGTGTACGACTTTAGGGGGGTGTGGTGATCGTGGGAGTAGTTCTGCACCAAGCTGGGGGAGGGCTCCAGCGCTCATCTGCAGGCTGAACGGGCAGAATTTCGACATTTGGCGGGTTTGCGAGCAGAGCTCCAGATCGCTGATCATCATTTTCCGGTAGTGATTGACGGCAGATTTAAAGGGTTTGGTGGACTGTGACGACAGAACCACGCGATTGCTGAAGGAATTGATTTCCCCATATTGATATGCAATATGGATGGGATAAAAGGACCTCCGACCCTTGAAGTTGACAACTAGACAATCAACTCAGCGATTAGCGAGGCCCACGAGCTATCTCAATAGATGAGATACTTCCAGCTCCAACTCGTGTTGAGGTAACTTGAGTCATCGCGAGTTGAATACGAATTTGAGCAACTGCCACAGCAGACTTGACAGATTCTCAAAATAGAGATTGTCGTTGCAAAGGCCAATTCCTAATTCTCTGTGTGCAAACCTGCAGTGAACATGACTGATTCAGCAGGCGCGCGTGACTAGTAATGACACTCACGGACTCAGACCCCAACGAGTAAGAGACAATGGTCGATTCTTGGTCGATCTACATCGTCAAAAGACAAATTACTTTGTTGCTCTTGGTCAGGCAAGAAGTCAAGTACATGCAATAGTGATAAGAACTCATGGCTTCAGGAAAGGTCACACATACTTGCATGCATCGAAATTTCGAAAACTTGGCATGCACATCAAGCTGTTTATGAAGTTACCTTATTGATTTTACAATTATACGATTGTCCGAGACCAAAGTTGTCTGTTTCAGTTGTCTGATTGCATTTCTCAGGCATGGTGTAGAGTTAGTATCATTACCTAAGTAGTGTACGGCCAATGAGGAAAGTACGGCGTTGGCTAGGGTAATGGCCATGGAGACTGCAAGTGTCTACCACCTATAGCGCTTGACTGAGCTGCTATACTTATGGCTAATGCTTGAATATACGTCAGGATAAGATAGTTGTGTTATTTCTCGAAGGCAATCAAGGGATTGAGAAGGCAAAGAGGCACTACTGCTCAGTGCTCTTCAAAGACGGACTATGCGCATAACGACTGCATAGTAGGAGAGGAGGAGACAGGAAACTTAGAAAGCAATATGGATCAAGAAAAAAGAGCACTTTCCCTCTATGAGTCAGCTGTCGAAAAAAAGTCTCATATTTTCAACTTTTGAATAAGTAATCTCAGTCCAAAGCCGAGAGGCTGAAGTCCAAACTTGACTTCAGATCCAAAATTCAAGACTCGGCTCTCGGAGTTTAGGGTTTGCAGGAGCCAGCGTCAGCAATGGTAGTGCGTGCGTCACGGCCGCGCAATGGTCGTTGTTGAGATCAGCAAAGTTCAAGTCGAACGAACCTCTTGCAAAAATACACATAAAGAATAGTTCACAAATTCGAAAATCTAGTATCGCGTCTGCCTCTCGAACATGTTGCCAATTGGTGGAGGAATCGATCGTCTTTCAATTAGGTGGCTGGCGTAGAATGTTTCCTCGGAAGAAATGCCGAAAGAGTGGGAACCGATGGTGCAAGATGTGCATCAATGGCGTTCATCGCAACGGTTTTCATAAGCGCCACCAACCACTGATAGAGCTCGGATGGTGTCATTGGTTTGGACTGACATGTTGACATGGGCACCGCGGAGATTCGGTCTTGTTTCGACAACGTCAAGTTTCCCAAGGGACCGGAAACACTGTGTTCTTGCTATACTTTGCTGTGTGAGTCTACAGTGCCAGCGCCTTATCACGAATTGTCAGGTTTCGATGCGTCAATCGGCAATTCTCTCCACTGAGGACCCCATTGACAATACAACTCCCGCATGACGCTGTCGGCTCCTGCCGAAGAGAGAAAGCTTCAATTGACCGTCTGATATCAGAGTTTGACTTGCAGAGTATAAGATCTAAAGCCATGTAGCCATTCGGAACTTCAAACCGACGACCTTCAGTCGAGTTGCTCGTTGAGTCCTGTCTCCAGCTTGAGAACCTACCCCAAAGACAACTTGTAAGGCTTCAAGAACATGCACTTCTCCCGACTGTCCGCGTTGGCTTTGGCCGGCAGATTGGCCAGTGCCGGGAAGGGTCCCTTTCTCGCGCAGATTAATGACTCGACCTGGGTCATTGGAAATGATCACTGGAACCTGACACAGGGTTCGCTTTACGCAACCAAGCTTTTCTGGGAGGGTGTCCCGGGCGCCGATCTTGTGGGTTCGGCTGCCGGCCACTACGTCGGCTACGGTAAGACGACCATCTCATCGCAACTTTACTTGATGAAGCTGTGCTGACTGACATATTGCAAAAAAAGATGGAGAGAACAATCTCCAGTTCACAAACGCTACAATCGCATCCCAGGGTACGGACTACATCGATGTCAGCTTCTCCGCCGCTGCCGGCGATTTCCACTGGGTGATCTTTGATGACTTGACAGGCGCGTACCAGTACTTCGTCAACCGGGCCCTCCCCGACATTAGCATTCTTCGGACTTTGTGGAGGTTGGCCCCCGACGTCTTCACCAACGGTCGCACGCATCTCAAGGACGAGCCCCTGCCCGACTTTTCGCTGTACACCACCGCAACCAACGTCCAGGATGAGACTTGGCAACTGGCCGATGGGTCCTTCATTACAAAGTACGACTGGTCCAACGCCGTCAGGGATCGTGACTTCTACGGCGTCTACGGCCCCAAGGCCGGGTCTTGGTACATCCATCCTACGACGGAGTACTACAATAGCGACCACCTGAGCCAGACTTTGACGGTGAGTTATTTGGTGACTCCTGCAATCTCGTGGGCAAATTTCTGACCTAATGACCAGGTCCACCGAGAGTCAAAGACTGGAGATGCCGTCCAGCTCAATGTCGTTCAGGACACTTCTCACTTCCGCGTTGGCAAGACGGTGCCTCAGCCAGCAGGCAAGGTCTGGGGACCTTGGCTGTGGTATCTCGTAAGAAGACCTTGATCATACGGAAATCCATGTCACAGTATCACTGACATTTACACGCAAAGAACAATGGAGATGTAGCGGACGCCGCACAGAAGCACAAGGAAGAAGTCAAACACGTCCCTTACACATGGTTCAAGGACACAGCCTACCACTCTCGTGGCGGAGTCCAGGGAACTCTGGTCCTGTCTGACGGCCGTCCCGCCTCTGGCGCTGCCGTCTTCCTCGGCGACACCGACACTACCATCCGCCCCTCGATTCAAGGCAAGAACTACTACTACACAACGTACACGAACGACAAGGGCCGCTTCTCCTTCGACAACGTTCGCACCGGAGGGTACGCCGTCTATGCCACCTCCAACGGTGGCAAGCTGGCCGATGTGTACACGAACTTCACTGCGCCTCTGACGATCACCAAGGACAAGACCCTGAACCTCGGCGAGCTCTCGTGGACCGTCCCCAAGAGCAAGCAAATTTTCCAGATCGGCGAGTTCGACAAGAAGGCCAACGGATTCAAGAACGGCGGCGTGCCTTACCAGCATGGCGTGGCGGCGCAGAGCCCCGCGAACCTGACCTTCACCGTCGGCAAGTCCCAGAACGAGGACTGGTACTTTGCGCAGTCCACCATCGGAAAGTGGACGATCGAGTTTGACATCCCCTCGGCGGACCTCACTGCCAACAAGACTGCGCTGCTGAGCGTGTCCCTGGCTGGGTACTCGCAGAGCGCGGCTTTGGACATTGACGTCAACGGGCAGGTTTACGGCTCCCTGAGCAAGGACACGTTGACCAGCGATCCTGCTCTGTACCGGTCCGGCAAAGTCAGCGGCGAGTGGCGCTTCTTCCAGTACGAGATCGATACCGACGTGCTCAAGGCTGGGCAGAATACTGTGGGCTTCACTGTTACTCGTTACACTCAGTGGAGAGGCTTCTTGTATGACAGCGTCATCTTCGAATGGCTCTAAGTCGATAAGGCATCTGTATCATCCGTATCATCCATGTCCTTATCACGAGTACAAGTAGCCATGAAAATTGAGGAAACTAATGACATAAGAGATTATGACTACTGGGAACACTACTTTTGTTGTAATACTGCCACTACTGCTGCTGCTGTTGCTGCTGGAGCCGAAGAAGTTCTTGAATCTGCTGCTGTTGTTGGGGAGTCATTTGTCCCCCCAAGGTTTGGCCAGGAATACCTACATTGTTGGTATTGCTTTGCTGTGCACCCATGGCTGCGTTCGAGCCGCCACTCCCCGCACTCCCCAGACCAACGTTGCCGAGACCAGCGTTTCCGAGACCAGCGTTGCCCATGCCCATGTTGACGTTGCCCATCCCCATGCCAATGTTATTCATGTTGCCGAAGCCAGCCTACGACGACTGTGAGGCCATGGGATTACCCTGATTTTGCAGACTATTGAACCCAGACCCAGCCATCCCCATGTTTGGCATACCCATCCCCATCATACCTAACTGGTGAAGGTTTTGGAAGCCGCCTGGCATTGCGAAACCCTGCTGAAATCCTCCCTGCTGAGGCACTCCGAGCCCTTGCCCTCCGAAGCCAAAGTGATTCCGGTTAAAGTCGTCGTAGCGATGCTCTTTCTTGTGGGCAAGTTCATTCTCCAGGCGCTCGTGCCTCACCGAGTAGAGATACGCGTTGAACTCATGGGACACCTTGGCCACCTTCTCGAAATGCTCACTCTTCACAAGGATGGGCCCCGGGACATTGTTCTCTTGCTGATGGAATTCGGCTAGCGCAACGGCCGTTTGGAAGGCGTTTCTGATTTGTCTTCCGTTCCAGACTGGCTTGTGGTCATCTCTCAGAGTCTGCAAGTTCCAAAGAGTCGTGGAAAGAGTCATGATCTCATCGCGCTTGAATTTTACGTGCTGAGACAGGTCCACAGGCGCAGCTGCGATTGAGAGTTGCTCCGTACGATCCATTTGTACTTCCCATATCTTTTTTGTTTGCTCGTGGGTGAGAGGTGGATAATACAAAGCCATGGACATGCGGGACTTGAAGGCCTCGTCAAAGGAGCCCACCTTGTTGGTCGTGAGAAAGAGCATTCCTTCATAGTATTCCATCACGCGAAGGAAGACTGCACTCAAGAGTCAGCACAAGAATGAGAGCCAAAGACGGCTTCAAATGTACCAGATACTAGTGCGTTTCGCTCAATGTTGTCTTGGCTTCTTTCGGCCAGGAAGACGTCAGCTTCGTCTAAAAGCAAAACGCACTCCCAGGCCTGGGCCATCTGAAATGCATTCTGAAGATTGGACTCCACTTCGGTGGGAGTCATCCCCAAGTCACCTGTTCCGTCAGTCAAAGCCCCGTTCTGGTCGATCCATAGGCAGTATAGTACGCACCGCAAGTGATAGGCAACAATGGCTTGTTGTAGTAGGCTGCGACGGTTTCTGCGATCAATACTGTTAGTTTACGTTGTAATTGCCAACATAGAGTTGAGGATAGATACTGACCAGCAGTTGAAGTTTTGCCCACCCCAGGAACTCCATGCAACAGCACGATGAGTCCCTTCCCTGGATACTGTCAGTCTTGAGGGTCTGTCAGAATAACGCCAATCAGTCATCATAATACCTTTGTCCTGGATAATATCGAATTGACGCCGCTCGGACTTCTTCTTGCGAAAGTGGGTGGCCATCAGAGACTTGATGATGGTTCTGTGGCCATCGTCTATTTGAAGATATTCCCATGCCTTCTCGTCTTCTCCCATTCTAGTGAGACTATGTCCCTGAGCCTCAAGTGAGCTAGACCCGAGAGGTATACAAGCTGGATGTCGTGTATCAGCAATTTCAATTGACACTTTTCTGAGAGAATGATGACTTCTTACCCCACTGACGTGTACGTAAAACAAAAGCAAAAACCCTGTTGGGAAGCAGGAGGATCTCATCTCCTTTAGGAGGTTCTCGACGGTACACCTCTACAGGCTGGGATTGATCGGTGTAGTTGAGAACTTCCTCCGCCATTCGAGCATCCCACACTCGATCGTCGTCTACTCCTGGGGGAGCAGGTGGGATAAGATAATTCTTGGGTGGTGCTTTCTGTTCTTCGATAGTCTCGGCTTCGCCCCAACTGCCTCTGGATGACCTTCCTGGCTTCCAACTTGGTACTTCCTGTAGGCAACGATGAAGATCCACAACTACTGGGCTTTCAATAGCCTCCGCAATCATGACAACCGAAGTGATCGCTCCTTTCTCGGAACGGCGTAAGACTGTTCCATCGGGCTCGTCTATGAGACTTTGACCTCGATAATAACTGTAGGACCATTTTGTGTAGGATATGAAATCTTGTCCTTTCACTTCGCAGCCTGCTAAGTCAATGAGGCCATCTCGCTCTGCTATACTCAAAGGAACGATCGGGAGGGAACGAATACTGGTCAGATCCCTCAGCATCTCAAACTTGAAATCCTTGAAGACGCGGATGAACTGGTCGCCGTCGAAGTCTATGTAATAGCATTCTATCACAAAAGGAAGCGGCCTCGAGTCGTTCCAAGCACCTCCAAGCTGGAAATGAGTGGTTTGGGTCGAAGGTTGCCGGTATTGTGGTCTTTGGCCTCCTTTGCCTTGAACCACACGCCACAACTTTTGGGGAACTGCCGGGTCTTTGACGTAGATAATACTTCCTGGCTTGAAGACATGCCATAGCTCTTGGTAGTGGACCCGAATGTCGACTGATCTCTGAAGTACATTTCCGAGAGGAAGAATGTATTTGTCCATGAAAGACACGAGAATACCAAGGTCGTCAGAGGCTTCTCGTAGTTCTTCATGGGTCAAATACTTCCAGTCGTATGCCGGAGTGAAAATTAGGATGTCTCTCGCTTCTCTTGTCATTGACGGCTTTGCGTCCTTTTTAGTCCCGTTTTCGTCTTCAACGTCGGCTTTAGTTGGGACGTTTGGATCCTCGACGCTCTTGTCTCTGTCTGTTGATTTGAGACAGAGATCCGGAATTTCTGACAACCTTTCGCGGATCTTAGGCTCAAGCCATTGGAGAATCTTGTAAGGACGAAAAATCGAAATGTTGGCTCCCGAAGTAAGACTTCCATCGGTAAGCGTACTCAATATTCTTCTTACCGGCAAAGATCTAATCGATATCCTGGGCGGAAGGGCTTTGGCGCCGTTGTGTCGGGGTCGCAGAATGATGGGTTTGGCTTGAGTTCTGTCATCAAGACCCGGTGTTCGATAAGTCAACTTATTTAGGGGCTCTTCCTCTATCAAAACCTCAATCGCGCAGCTCAAATCACTGTTCCAGTACTCTGTCCAGAAAGACTCTTTCAAAATTGGAGTTGCTCTGGTTCTCTCCTGATACTGTGGGTTCAGAGGCAATGGAGGAGGCCGACCGCAGTCTTGGATGACTTTGGAGATCCAATTCATCATCTTCAGATGATTGGCGAAATACTTTGGCGCGTTGTCAGGATTGAATCGAGCAGAAGCATCAATACGATTGAGAGACATGTTTCGAAGCTCTCGCGCAATTCTGCTTAGCTTCGTTCCCCCGTCCCCAGGAAATAATTTGAAGTCTCGACTTATAGTACTCCCACTCGAAGCTTCGCTGAGATCGTCTGGGATGTTTACTCCTGAAATGGAGGCATCGTTGGAAACCGCATCGATATCTGGCTCGGCCCCAGCTGGTGGCTCACCGGGGTCATGCTGGCTGAGAGTCTCTTGTGGGGTAACATCCTGACTTGACTTCTGCTACTAAGTTTTAGTCATCCTTTACGTGCCTTGAATCGCAGTGCTTACTGGAGGTGCAGAGGATATCGTGTTCTTGCTTTCGGTCTCTGTGGAGTCCTTCTCTGCTATCAGACTGGATACATCGGCGGAACGCGAAGTAGTGGTAGGCGGAAGACGAGCCTCCAGGGAATGGGTCTCAGCATCCAGTGTCGACGACATTCTCTCTAGCTGTTGTATGCTTGGAGGTATGCCTCATTTGAGTGAAAGCAGGAGCATCAGACTTTGGAGGGTATTGAGTGAGGTGCAGAAGAAGAGTTTGTTCAGCCGGCTAGCAAGAACACGATGTCCTTGGAACGCTCTACGGCAGCGAGAACGAATCAGGCGTGGCCGGACCGTAGTGGTACTTCCATCAAAGACCTATCAGCGGCAAGCTAGAAGAGCTGCTCTCTTATGAACTAGGGTTACTGCAGCACCCACCGAATCATTGCGTTGACTGAGCCTGGCAATGAGCTATTTAAAGATAGGCGCCTCGGATGACAATTTGAGATCAATTTTATGCAAGCATTTGATGCGGCACATGCAGTTACCCAATTCCCTCCAACAACACCATGCCGGTTCCCGGATGCTTACGCCAAGACCTTTGCTTAGCGCATCTGCTACCCTCCATCTTCGCAGCCTTGCCTTTAAAGGAGAAGCTGGCCCGGAGAAGTCATAGAAGAGGTTTTTCTACAGCCCAATTCCTCGAATCTTTGAGGAAATCCAGATCTCATCAATATATAATCATGGCCGACTATGTCGGTACCTTCATGAAAACTCACGCCGGTGAGCTGGACCCAAGCTGGCAAGTCTCAGCTCGAGACAAGTTCTCGGAAAAGAGGCGCGTAAAACAGGCATCCTCAAGGTGAACAGCAACTTTTCACGGCTTGTGACGACTTCCAAAGCTGGTGTGTCTCGTCAGTGTTGATACTGACGCAAAAGTTTCCTCTCAGAGTCCACGAACGTACAAAGTCATTCAAAACTTTGATAAGTATTTTCGCGCAGAGGACTAATCGTAAAGACCTCGCGAGATTCGACGTGGAAAAAGACTTTCAATGGGAAGATGTGAGGGTCATGGCGTCCGAGGCAATCGAGCAAGACAATGCCAAAACGAAAATGAGACACAATCCTTTTCGCGCGGCCGGGCGATCCTTCCAGAGGAATGCATCGAACTTGGAAATGCTTGTAGCGTTTCTGCCGAATGGAGACTTTACCGGTATACTTTGCGGAGCTCTGACATTTGTTTTCTGTGTAAGATACACGTTTTCTACACCAATGGTTCTATGGCTCACAACGTCCTTTGCAACAATATGCTGCCAAACGCCTCGACGAAGTTCGAAATAAGATTATCAATTGTCTGGACAGCCTGCCAGATATCGTGGAAGAGACGGAAGAGTATGTGGACATTTACGACGATGACCCCAGAGTCTGGAGAGCTGCCGAGGACCTGTATCTAGGAATTCTCGACGGTGTAGAGAGTATGTTACAATGGATTGACAAGTCAGCCCTCGGTAAGAACCGCTTCCAAAGCTATGGTCCATTTGTTAAACCTATGATCCTTCTTCTTGATCTGACTTTCAAAGAGAGGGCTTTCAAGGTCCTCACGAGACCGACAACCTTTGGAAAGAATGTGGAAGAAGAGACTATCAAGCAAAATATCGAGGGCAGTGTGGCCAAGTTCCGGAATGTTGTCTTAATGAGTCAACACAAACACATCAACAAATCACTCAAAGCTCTGAAGGAGCAACTTAACAGCCAATTGAAATATGCCGACTGGGTTCGAGGTCAGTCTGTTCCTTTACTGTACTTTACTACGGTACCGTGCCTATTTGAGGTACCTTAGGTACTTTAGGCAATGAGAATTGCAATTTTGACGACCCAAAAACGATAGACAACCCGAAAGCAGAAAAGCTTGTTATAAAAGCATTTATCACACTCGATGAGCTTCGCGCTAGCATTGGCTTCGATCCGAAAATCAATCAGAAAGACATGGTGACGTCTATGATTGACGCACAGAAAGTTTGCCCGCCAGAGATGATCAGCCACGCCATGCTGGCTCTCCGCGACAACAAGTTTACCTCTTGGCTTCAGTCGAACGAGTCCCAGAGACTATTCATCGAAGGAAGAATGAAGCTAAACTCAGAGCAAGAGGCAGCATCCCCGCTAACAATGCTCTCATGTGCTCTCGCCCAGCTAGTGGCGAGAGAATCTGAGCGCAGCATTCCGTTGGTGTACCTCTGCGGCCAGCACAACCGCCAAAATGACCCACACTCTGGCGCCAGCGGTGTCCTGAGATGTTGGAATTCCCTTATCGCAGAGTCTCTTACACCGCGGGACGTCGATCTCTCGGCTATCAATTTGAGCTTCATAGACGGTGTCAGAGCCCAGCAACTTGGCGTGCTCTGCATGCTCTTCCGTCATTTGGTTATGGCTGCAACAGATAAGGTTGTCTTTGTGATCTTAGACGGGGCCTTATGGCTCGAAGTCAGCCGTCATGTTCAGGGATTGGGAGATGTTGTGTTGTTCCTGAATAATCTTGTCACTGTGCTAAATCAACAAAACTACGGCGTGATTCTCAAAGTGCTGATTACTCATCCGTCGACGAGTAATCACGCTAGGAGGTGGCTCCCAAAAGAGTGTGTACTGGAGATGGATGATGTTAGGTGATTACTACATGTATTAGGCCTTGAGAAGTGACAGAAGTGACGACGGCATCAAGAATGTATTTGGGAGACGGCTTCGTCACAGCGAGTCCTCCGCGGCAAGTCGGCTCATAGAATTCTAGTTAGATTCCTGAATCTCTCTTCAATGACTGTCCAAAGTTCAATGCTAATACTCGGCGCTCGGGCAGCCGACGAGATAATCCTGATACAACACCATCTCCTTCTACATGTGATACTTGAAATCCAGTTCCCAATCACCAGTCTTAACCTTTCTCTTATCCTCCATCTCCCCGCTCTCAATCTTCCTCTTCATCTCATTGCAGTGGCGGATATAGAACCACTTTCCAACAACCAGAAGCTGCGCAACACCCAGCGCACCAACAGAGAACGCATTACCCAACAAATACGGCGCCTTGCGATAAATCTGGCCCGCAACAATACCGGCGCAGTTACCAATAGCCTGCTGCATACCAATCGCAGTAGCACGCCGGTATTGCGGCGCGACGTTGACGTTGAGCCACGTCAGGTTGAGACCAGGGCCGTTGTAAACGGCAATGGCGCACAGGAAGGTACCGAAGAACTTGACGCCGCTGCTCGTCGGGCAGATGATGAGGATGTAGCCGATGATACCGGGAATATTTGCCAGGAAGATGAGAGGTCCGCGAACGAGGATGCGATCCGAGACGTAGGCTGTCGCTAGGAAGGCGATGGCGCCGAAGAGGAAGACGGGGATGCTGAGGTATTGGGCCTCGATGCTCGTGCGGCCCATGGAGACGATGATGGAGGGGAGGAAGGTGCTGAAGCCGTAGAGGAGGATGTCTTGACAGAATTGGATGGCACCACTGTTACACTGAAGTCAGTCTTCTATCGAGAAAGATAGGGGGTAGATATCGCCGTGGTAGGGTTTGAACGTACCTGAGATAGAGCTTGGGATCGCGAAGCTCAATCTTGATCTCCTCCCAGCTGAACTCATCACTTCCCATATACTGCGCGCGCTGCGCAGCACGAATTTTCATCATGCGCTTCTCTTCGTCGGAGAGGAAGTAGGCATTCGAGGGATCATTCGGCAGACCGAACCACAGAATCGGGGCAATCAGGATGCTCACAACACCCTCAATAATAAAAACCCATCGCCAGCCAGCATACCCAGCCACCCCATCCATCTTCAACAGCGCATACGCCAACAACCCACCAAACGCACCCGCAATAGCAGAGCACACAAACAGATACGATACCCTCTTAGCCTGCTCATCGCGCTTATACACCATGGTGAGGTACAGATTCAGCGCGGGGAACAAGCCGGCCTCGCACATGCCGAGGACGAGGCGGACGGCATAGAGCCCGCCGATGCTGTGGATGAAGCCAGAGAAGACGGTGGAGAGGGACCAGATGATGCAGAGGCCCGTGAGAAGGACGCGCGGGGTGATGCGCTTCATCATGATTGTCCATGGGGGCTCGAAGACGACGTAGGTTGCGTAAAAGATGGAGATTGCGGTCGAGAACTCTTGGGTTGTGGCGCCGATGTCCTCGGGCATGCCGGCGACGCGGACGTTGCCGATGTTTGTGCGGTCGAGGAAGCAGGTTAGGTAGACTACCATGATGATGGGGACAAAGTAGGCGTCGAGCTAGATTGGAGCATCATTGTGTTAGCTTCCTACGAAGGTGTGACACAGATTTTAGGTAACTTCAAGTTGCTAACCTTTAAGAGAAGCTTCTTCTCGGCCGCGGGATCGAGGGACTCGATTGTCATTGTGCCATTGTTGGATTCAGAGCGATCAATGTCGCTGCCGAGACCCTTCTCCGCGCCGGCGCCGGAGACGTCGTCGGGGGTGGAGATGGTCGCCATGGCTGAATTGGCTTCTGGATGTGAACTTATAGCCTAGATGGAATCCCAAGCAGACCGGTAGTTTGGATTCTGCAATAGTCGGGGTTCAATGGCGATGGAGATTCGCTACCAAAGTCTCGGGATTGACAAAGGTGGTGATGAGGAGTTGATCTCTTTAATCTAGAAACAGTCGATGGGGCAGACCGCCTTTATGATTGTGCCAACCTATGTGCGATGTGCCATTGACGATAATGGAACGATATGGACAGACGGATAACACAAACACCAAGGGAATGGACAGCGACAATTACTCGGGCGCGCTATCTCTTGCCGAGCCATCCATTTGCAGGCACGGACATATGGATTGACGCGGTATCAAGGATAGCACCGCGGGGGTGAGAGAGGGACACACGCGGAGAACGACTCCATGAGTGCCTTGGCTAGCATTTCGGTCCCCTTAGTTCGGATAACCCAACGCATCTACCGCGAGCTTGTCCACGGCCAACCAGGAAGATCGGAGGTCCTCGCCGACCCCTGATACTTGCGGGGGAACTTGGGACTTCCCACATCTTTCCCCACCGACAATGTTGATAGCGCTGATAGCTGCTTGTATCCACCCGGCACCCCGGCGTCGGAGTGGCGCCCCTATCGAGCTAGTCTCCAGGATGGATTCAAATAGGGAACCTTTGGAATGGGAACACATTGAAACAGAGTTTGGGACTTGGGGCAACGGTTCGGCAGCGAATAACGATTGTTGATAATGGTTTGGGTCATCCATTGTCAGTTGATGGGTTTTCTTGACTCTAACCAGGCCATTGGCGTCGAGTCTACGCTGCCTAGAGTTAGCTTGCCCAGCCACCGGGCGTGATGTCAGGATGATGCCTCCGGGCGCGTTGTCCGAAGCTTTCGGGATTTAACCCATTTGAGTTTGATCCCTTGGTACATATCAGCCCCTCCGCCCCTGGTAGCCCTGCAGATCCCCTTCAGACAAGCCGCGAAATGGGCAGATTCCGTGGTTAAAGCAAGATAAGCCGGTATCCACAAACAAGGACTCGGGCCAAGGACAGATTATCATAGTTGAGGTGAAAAGATCCAAAGCTTTGCATTATCATCAAATCATAGCAGTAAGATATACATGTAGATACCATAGTTCTCCTTCACACATCCATCCTATCATCAGTCTGAGTCATGCCAGCCGCGTGAGTCCATTGCGTAAAGTCAAAGCTCGCGTCCATCGCCGGGTCGGCAAAGCCTTCTTCCCAGAGCCCAAAGTCCATCACCGTACTCACACTCTCATCGAAAAAGGGTTCGCCTAGGGAGCTGTTGTCGACGACGGGGAACGTCACCCGCTGATGACCCGCCACAGCTTGCATCGCCATCAGGCCTCCTCCTTGAGCGTCACCCATAGTCATGGGCAGTACACTACTACTACTAGTCGGTTGCGCACTCGAAATGAGACCCCCTCCTGCTGGCACTAGCGATTCTGTCGGAGAGAAGCTTGTCGGGAACGGAGGCAGAGGTTCGGCGTGGGCGTTTGTTCCGGACATGACAGCCGAGCGAAGGTTGGCGAGAAGCTCGTAGCGGGCGCCCATGTAGCTGTTGCCTCGCTCGCCCATGCCTCGGAGGAGATCGAGGCCGGCGTTCATCGCCATGATGCTGGACGGGTCTGTCGGGAAGGCGACGCAGACCATGACGAGGACGATGGATGCTGAGAAGACGTGTTCTCCGTCCATATACCCGTACGTTGCTGAATGGTCGTCGAGATCAGCCAATGAAAGCAGACTTGCATTCGGGGGAAACGGTTGTGTAACCATACTTACCAACAAGATCTCTCTGTGCAGCTACGGTCATTATGTTGATGGTGTCCTGCGCCGCACCGATGCACATGTCGATAACCCTGACAGTCGTTTGGGACAATCCCTCTTTCCAGCCTCGCTCTTTCTCCCCTGCATCGCTGCTGGCGCGAATTTTCTGCAGTCGCTTCTGCACAACGTGGAAGAGCAAAGGCCGCGCAGTCATGTTGATGCATTGATAGTAATGCGCAAATGTGCTAACGCTCTCGCGGCTAATGCTAAGCCGAGCAGGGTCAAATCGAAGCTCATCTGGTAAGTTGCTGTTCCACTTGGACAGGCTGAGAACGATGCCCTGAACCGATGCCATCAGGCGTTTTCCGGATTTAGGCGCTGTCTTGCTGGTCTTGCGATAGATGGCATTGTGAATTTCACCGAGAATCCGTGAGAGTTCGGTGTAATGTCGAAGCACCACTGCGGGGCAGTATTCTGCTTCTGTGGGTAGTCTTGCAGGCAGATCGACACCGATGTCCTCGTCCTGGATGGTGATGGGATTTCCCGATTTGACCGATAGGATACGATCCAGACTATAAACAGACCACCACACCCGGCGACGATGTTCGCGCGTTGCATCATCCAAGGCGGTCGGGTCGTTATCCTGACCCTGTAAAGCATGTGGTGCCGCACTGAATCCGATCTCATGATGCAGCCCGAGCGAGATGGCCATGCGAAGAGCCATACCGGTATATAAGAACGCAGCATCACGACGGTTCATGTTTTGCATGAAGTAGCCGATGAGAGCCAGCGTTTCTACGCACAACAAGGATCCTTCTTCATGGGTATCGGGCAAGAGGTTCAGAGCATGGGTGAAGTATTCGAAGCCTGGCGGGCCCCTGAAATCGACCCATTGATTGACAGAGTAGAGTTGACCGAAAGCCAAAATGATGAGGACCTTTGCGTATGACAGACATGCTTCTCTATCAGAGGGATCAGGAGGGCCTCGGTACGCCTCGATGAGTAATTGATCGAAGCTGGCCTTGGGGTCCGTAAAGGCAAAGATCGTCCCTATGTAGGTGTACTGTGCGGCAAATAGCCGCCGGGCAATGTCTATTGGTGGGAGTCGAACTTGTGTCCTCGCCTTTTCACGTCTTGAAGGCAAGGCACTTGGCTCGTAAAAATTTGTGTTGGCGTCCAGGCTGCCGTCGTCACCGTAGAAACCTGATAGATTTCTCACACTCCGTAGAAAATTGTCCGAATTGCCAGGGCCCTTGAAGCTTGTCGAGGGTTTATGAACGCTCATCTGATTGAACGGCTCAAGTAAGGGATGTTCATCTTCAAATCCTTCTTCATGCTCTTCGGCTGAGATGCGGTGGGCAGGGACTTTTCCAGGGATCGGAGCTGGTAGCTGAGACTGCCGGAGAAGCGAGTCTAGGACTTGATCAATATGTGACTGGTATGATCAATGCTGGCCACTCACCATCATAAGCTTTGGCCTTAGCTTCGAGTTCTCGAAGATAGCTGACCAAGGCGTTAGTTCCATGGTTCACGAGTCGGTGGTGATTCATTCGACTCACGTCTCTGTGACGGTGATTTTTACACTCGTCTCATATGTACAGCTCAGGCCGCTGTCACGACATCGTGAACAGGTAGGCTTCTCTTTCGAGCAGTAGGATCGTCTTTGTCGGCAATTGGCACATCTATTCTGGAAACTCAGCAACACTTCTAGGAAACCCATACGATGAAGTCGGTTTAGAGAACAACGGAACTTACGCCACAGGCCTTGAATTTCCAATTTCACTTGGGGATGATGAAGGCCCTGCTTGAGGCGGAGATGGTGCAATGGGAGCCATGTTCTGGCATGTGTTTTGGTAATGCCGATATGACATATCTCTCACGAAATCACTTGGAAGAGGTGGGGATGGTCGAGCCCCATGCCCATGGCACGCGAGATGCAATTATCCGTTGATATCGTCCACTTCCCCAAGTTCTCGAGATGGAGCTTGTGACAAATGGAAACTCTTGAGCTGGGGGTATGTTGGTCAAGACTCAACGCGGGGATAGCAAGGTGTTGAAGTTTCCTGGCCGTGCACCCTGCTTGCGGAGGGGATTTGTCGGTGCAGAATCACCTGAAGCTGGAGAACCAACATGCATCGTGGTCTTGGTATCGGGCTGGATGATCGGTGTTTATGGAGAATTCCCCACAGCCGTGAATAATGCTGAAGGGGTGAGAAAGCCGTTGACAAGTTCGCGTTGGGAGCGACGACGATCGTTTTGCCGATGATGGAGCCTTTCCTCTTTCGGTCTTCGGTACGTACTGTCTCAGAGATCGGATGACGTCGGCCCCTAGATAATCCGAGAGCACTCATGTCTGGCCAATGAGAACGATAAGATATGCTGTTATCGTCGGGGACCCACTCCGACGGCTACACGCGGGCTTCTGCAGCCCAAGAACTCCACATATCTGTTTTCCCGCTTCCAACACCAACTCGCAATTCGACTCCGATTCTCATCATCATGCCTTATCAAGTATCGGGCAAAGGCCGCTCTTCCATTTGCTGAATTGCTGATCGGGGACCCACTCCGGCTCATCTACCAGTCAGATGTCTTGTTTCACTCTTCAGCGGTGGTCAACTGCGATGGCGACGTCCGACCAAAGGCCGATATGGCTATGGCATCTGAGAAGCCAGCGATACGGCCTGTCATCAGCCGCCGGCCAGGTGAACCTTACTGTGTCGAAGTTTTGGTCGGATGGCCTCATCGGAAAGCGTGTTAGCAAATGTGCGAGTTCCAGGTAAGCGGACACCCGATCGCGGCCTCCTGCCCAGCCCCATTTCCCGATCTGAGTAGCGGCAAATTATTACATGATCATGACAGAGGCAGGAAGAAGATATTCTCAATATAAACATTTACCCGTGCCATCATCATCACATTTCTGTCACCGACATATTGCCTCACGTCAAACATTACCTAGTGCTGTCTTGCTCGAATCACTTTAATACCCCATTTAACCCTTTTTACCGACTCGTCTTCTCGACGAGCCTTCTCATAAGCAGCAAGCACCGCATTCACACATCACCATGACGGTCAAGTCACATCGCATTCGCATCTCCATCGACAGAGGTGGTACCTTCACCGATGTTCACGCCGCGATACCCGGCAGAGGAGACATCATTCTCAAGCTTCTCTCCGTCGACCCGGCCAACTACCAAGATGCCCCAACAGAAGGCATCCGCCGGATTCTGGAGATGGTGACCGGTGAGACGTTACCTAGAGGACAACTGCTCGACCTCTTTCACGTCGAGTCCATTCGCATGGGCACGACAGTAGCCACAAATGCCCTTCTTGAGCGGAAAGGCGAGCGCGTGGCCCTCATCACCACAAAGGGCTTCCGCGACCTGTTGGCGATTGGAAACCAGTCACGGCCAAATATCTTCGACCTCTCAGTCGCACGCCCAGAGGTCCTCTTCGACGAGGTTGTCGAAGTTGACGAGCGCATCACAATGGAGGACTACACCGAGGATCCCGCCTCTGTGAAGACGAGCCCGACGTCCGATGACCCTGAGCTCGTCACTGCTATCACCGGCGAGACTGTCCGCGTCCTCAAGAGGCCAGATCTGGGAGAAATCAAGACGCAGCTTGAAAAGGTCAGAGAACAGGGCTATCGGTCCATCGCCGTTGTCTTTGTCCACTCTTACGCCTACCCAGACCATGAGCTCCTAGTTGGCAGGGTCGCCTCCGAGATGGGCTTCTCCGTCACCCTGTCTTCCGAAGTTCAGCCCATGATCAACGTCGTGCCTCGTGGCATGTCTGCTGTGGCTGATGCCTACCTCACGCCCGTTATTCGGCAGTACATTGACTCCATCTCGGCCAACTTCAAGGGCGGATTTGGTGCGGCCGCGACGCGCATCGAGTTCATGCAGTCGGACGGTGGCCTCGTCGACTACCGCAAGTTCAGCGGTCTCAAGGCGATTCTTTCTGGACCCGCCGGCGGTGTTGTTGGTTACGCCCAGACTTCTTGGGATGACGAGGAGCGCCAGCCTGTTATTGGCTTTGACATGGGCGGTACCTCGACAGATGTCTCCCGCTATGCTGGTGTCTACGATCACGTCTTCGAGACCACTACCGCCGGTATCGCCATCCAGTCCCCTCAGCTCGACATCCACACAGTCGCTGCTGGAGGTGGCTCTATCTTGACCTGGAAGAACGGCCTCTTCAACGTCGGCCCTGAGTCTGCTTCCGCTCATCCCGGTCCGGCCTGCTACCGCAAAGGCGGCCCGTTGACAGTGACGGACGCGAACTTGTTCCTCGGCAGGCTGTTGCCAGAGTACTTCCCCAAGGTCTTTGGCCCCAAGGAAAACGAGCCGTTGAATCGAGAAGTGACGGCTGCCAAGTTCCTGGAGCTGACGAGCGAGATCAACAAGGACAGAGAGGCCTCTGGCCTTTCTCTGCTTTCCCCCGAGGAAGTCGCTCTCGGCTTCCTCAAGGTTGCCGACGAGGGCATGGCAAGCCCGATCCGCGCGTTGACGGAGGCTCGAGGCTACGAGGCTGGCGCTCATCACTTGGCTTGCTTTGGAGGTGCTGGCGGCCAACACGCGTGCTCCGTCGCCACGGTTCTGGGAATTTCTCGCGTCATCATTCACAAGTACTCCTCCATCCTCTCAGCGTACGGAATGTCGCTTGCAGACGTTGTTCACGAGATCCAAAAGCCTTCCGCCATCACCTACTCTGATGAAACCAAGGGCAGCATCCAGGAGCAGCTCGAGGATTTGTCTTCCCAGGCCACTCTGGAGCTGATGAAGCAGGGCTTCACCGAAGATCTCATCACTCACGACACCTACCTCAACATGAGATATGCAGGATCCAGCAGCTCGCTGATGATCTTGAAGGGCGCAGACTGGGATTTCAAGACTGAGTTCGAGGACGCTCATCGCCGGGGCTTTGGGTTCCACTTCCCCGAGAAGTCCATCATGGTCGACGACATTCGTGTTCGCGCTACTGGTGCAGCTCGTTCCAAGGTTGAGAAGAGCCCGTTTGCCCAGATGAAGTCTGTCGAGGGCTCCACGGTCTCAACTCCCCAGCCCAGCGGCACCAATAGCGTCTACTTTGAGGGTCACGGCCACCTCGATACTGCTGTCTACCAGCTCCAGACCATCCCCGTCGGCGCCCGTATCTCTGGCCCGGCCTTGATCATCGACAACACCCAGACCATCCTTGTCACGCCGTCCACCACGGCAACAGTCCTCGAGAGCTACGTCGTCATCGATCGCGCACCAGTTGAGAAGGTTGTCAAGACGAACGGCGAGCAGGAAGAGTTCAGCCCCGTGCAGCTCACCGTCTTTGGCCACCGCTTCATGTCCATCGCCGAGCAAATGGGACGCACCCTGCAGAAGACGGCCGTCTCAACCAACATCAAGGAACGCCTCGACTTCTCCTGCGCCATCTTCAGCCCCGACGGCGGCCTCGTCGCAAACGCCCCCCACGTGCCCGTCCACTTGGGATCCATGCAGTTCGCTGTCCGCTACCAGCACGAGCTGTGGGCCGGCAAGCTCAAGGATGGCGACGTCCTCGTCTCCAACCACCCCTCCTGCGGCGGTACCCACTTGCCCGACATCACAGTTATCACTCCCGTCTTCGATGGCCCGGAACTGGCCTTCTACGTTGCCTCACGTGGCCACCACGCCGACATTGGCGGTATTCTTCCCGGATCCATGCCGCCAACCTCATACGCCCTCTGGCAAGAAGGCGCGGCTATTGAGTCGACCAAGCTCGTCAGCGAGGGCCGCTTCAATGAGGCTGAGGTCCGCCGTCTGCTTCTTGAGGAGCCCGCTCAGTACGACGGCTGCTCTGGTACCCGCAGACTGCAGGATAACCTCTCCGATCTCAATGCACAAATCGCCGCTAATGCAAAGGGCATCTCTCTCATCAAGGCCCTCATCACGGAAAACGGCCTCGCCACTGTGCACCGGTACATGTACGCCATCCAGCACACGGCTGAGCACGCCGTGCGCGAGTTGATGCAGTCCACCCTCGCCAAATTCGGCTCCGAGCCCCTCGTCGCGGTCGACTACATGGACGACGGCACGCCCATCTGCCTCAAAATCACCATCTCGCCCGAGGATGGCTCCGCCACATTCGACTTCACCGGCACCGGCCCGCACGTCCTCGGCAACACCAACGCGCCTATCGCCATCACGCACTCGGCCATCATCTACTGCCTGCGCGGCCTCATCTCGTCCCAGATCCCCCTTAACCAGGGCTGCCTGGCCCCGATCGACATCGTGATCCCCAAGGATAGCATCCTCAACCCTGGCGCCGGCCTCGCTGTCGTCGGCGGCAACGTCCTCACGTCCCAACGCATCACCGACGTCGTCTTGAAGGCGTTCCGCGCCTCCGCTGCCAGCCAGGGCTGCTGCAACAACCTCACCTTCGGCACGGGCGGCAAAGACCCCGTGACGGGCGAGCACAAGGACGGCTTCGGGTACTACGAGACCATTGCGGGCGGCGCCGGCGCGGGGCCGACGTGGGTGGGCCAGAGCGGTGTGCACACGCACATGACCAACACACGCATCACGGATCCTGAGGTCTTTGAGAAGCGGTACCCGTGTATCCTGCGGCGCTTCCAGCTGCGCAGCGGGTCGGGTGGTAAAGGCAAGAACAGGGGCGGCGACGGGACGATTCGCGAGATTGAGTTCCGGGTGCCGGTTCAGTGCTCTATTCTGAGCGAGCGCCGTAGCCGGCGGCCGTATGGTATGGAGGGCGGTGGCGATGGCGAGGCGGGGTTGAATTTGGTTATTGTCAAGGATGACATGACTGGCAAGGATCGAACTGTCAATTTGGGGGCCAAGGCGACGACCAAGCTGAGGGCCGGGGAAACTGTTATTATTCAGTCGCCTGGTGGTGGTGCTTGGGGAGCTGTTGAGGCTTGATCTGGGTGTGAGTGCTGGAGCATTCGGGAATGCATATTTTGGCGTTTGGGGGATATAATGCTTTGTCGCGTTGACCTATAAACTAATTGATTCAACCATCACCAAGTATCAAGGCAATTTGACTCGTGTAATTGATGCTGCAGTCTCAGTCTGATAATTGGCTTTTTGACAAGAGGTCATCACTTAAAACCCTTCGACTTCGAGGCGTCACGGATTTGCACGTTCAACTCACCCAATTCAATTCATTCCATGTGTAACAAGCCGAGCACTTCACATCCAAGAAGTTCGTTTTGCCGATGAGGGCCCCACTAAAGATTTTGAATGAGAAGCTTGCCGCAAGTCTAAATCTCTCCCCGCCTCCCACTCCATGCAAGGTTGTTCAGCAGGCAACATTACCTAGCAGCAGGCCTCCTCCGATCAACGTCAGAAGGGCTAGTTATCGTCCTCAACTCGGTCTGACTCCATCGCCAGCGAATTGCCACTAGTCTCGTTTCTCTGACCCGCTCTCAGTCTCCCCACATCTCAGCCCTCTTGCGGACCCCTTCAATTCAACACGACTCCAGCGAAGCCCCGCAGCACAAGCGAGACATCGTGAGATTCCAATCATCACCTGCCCTGGTGGTCTAGCGGTATGATTCTTCCTTAGGGTTACTGAGAAATCAAGACACCATCCTGGAAGAGGCCCCAGGTTCGAATCCTGGCCAGGGCCTGATACACTTTTGATGTTGGTGATCAAGTGGTGATCTTTTCTTTGACGTAGTTCTTTTCTTTTCTGACAGTGAGCCCGTGCAGAAATCCGCCACAACGGGTAACTGGCCGGTTATGTCTCATGTCTCGCATGCACGTCTTTTGTCTGCATGAAAAAAGCTGCAGAGATTCCGTCAGCAACAGACTGCATGTAAGTCTTGGCAAAAGATTCATACCCGCGACAAGCGGCGACAAGTGAGAAGATGCAGAGAGCGCCCCATTCATAAGGTGAGACGGCATTTTCTGTGGAAAAGGGCATCGGGGCGTCGGCCGGAAATACCCCTGTCCATGCTCGGCCGGTCTCGGCCTCGAATGCGGGGGTATCGGGTCAAGATCCGGGGAGCGGATATCCGATAGGAACCCGTAGTTATCTGCCCATTTTGGGGTCGAGGTTAACGGATACCATCCCGATAAATAGTCCTGCTAGCCTCGGTCACGATACCCGGCGCGTTTGACATTGTGGGAACATTAAAGCCTTCGATACTGCAGCTCACATTCTCAGCCTTCAAGGTGTTTTGTCTCTTCATATTTCTATTCTATTCAAATCAGCCCTCGTTGTTCTTCATCTTCTAGATCTCTACCAATCTACAACAACAAAAGACTAAAAGTTCAAAACAAAGACCGTCAAAATGTCTTCCAGCAAGGTTCCCCCACAAGGCATCTGGGCCCCGGCCGTGACCCTCTTCAACCCCGAGACAGACGAGCTCGACCTCGAAGCCCAAGCAAAGTACTACTCCTACCTGTCCAAGACGGGCCTCGCAGGCCTCGTCATCCTCGGCACAAACGCCGAGCAATTCCTCCTCACCCGCGAAGAGCGCAAGGCCCTCATCGCCACCGCCCGCAAGGCCACCGGCCCCGATTTCCCCATCATGGCCGGCTGCGGCATGCACTCCACAAAGCAGGTCCTCGAGCTCCTCTCCGACGCAAAAGAAGCCGGCGCCGACTCGGCCCTCGTCCTGCCCCCGGCCTACTTCGGAAAGCAGACCACCCCGCAGGTCATTGACCGGTTCTTCAACACCGTCGCCGAGAAGACCCCGCTGCCTATTGTCATTTACAACTTCCCCCTCGTCTGCAACGGCATTGACCTCGACAGTGGCACCATCGCCAAGCTCGCAAAGAAGCACGACTCCATCGTCGGCGTCAAACTCACCTGCGGCGCCGTCGCCAAGATCGTCCGCCTCGCCGCCGAGCTCCCCGCCGAGAAGTTCGCCACCTACGGAGGCCAGTCCGATTTCCTCCTCGGCGGCCTCACTTCCGGCAGCGCGGGCTGCATCGCGGCTTTCGCCAACGTCTTCCCCCGCGTCACAGTGCAGATTTACAAGCTGCACAACGAGGGCAAGCTCAAGGAGGCGGTCGAGCTGCACCAAAAGGCCGCCCTTGCGGAGCAGGCGACCAAGGCGGGCATCGCGACCATCAAGTACGCTGCCTCCGTGTACACGGCGCCGCGGGCTGGATTGAAGGGCCAGGAGAAGCTCTTCGCGCCGCGGAGCCCGTATGTTGAGGCCAGCGAGGACCAGAAGAAGACTGTGCACGCTTTGATGGATGAGCTGAATAAGCTTGAGGAAGAGCTTGCTGGTTCCAGCTGAGTGCAGTTGGCTGTTCCATTCAGGTAGATGGTAGTTGTTGGTGAAACGGTCAAAATGTGTGTGTCTTGTCTTGAAGACAACGTGTGCACCACATGCTTGCAGAGATTGCCAGTCTTTTTGCTAGGATGAGTGTGGTCCCTGGGTGCGTCAGAGGCTGCAGGTCATTTTTAGCTTACATTCCAGGCCCAGGGCAAAGAAGTTCGGCAATCGGATCTGGCGTGACAGGGATGGCATGGAGGGACCGTGTATTATGAGCATATGATAGAAACATAAATGAAGAAACTAAATGATAAACAATGAAAGGAAACACTCTTCGGTGATCACCAGCTGTTTCTGATCGTCGCATTGAGTTACGGATTGGTCGATCAAATCCCCATTTGTTGACTGTATGTGTTCTTTAGGTGAAGATCCCGAGACAACGGCAAGGTGAGCAGTATGTTAATTATCCCACCCATCCCACCGGGATACACGGACCTGCTTCCGCGAGCTTTAGTCCACAGCATCCCTGATGGAAATAAGGCGGCGTGAAAGGAATTAAGTCTAGATGACGCTCTGTTGATCCGTGCTTCCCACGTTTATCGGAAACAGGTGGGAAAGATTGCATAGCATGCGGACTAGAACAGCCAGTTTGATGCTTGGCCACCTACGCGAGCTCACTTGCGAAACCCCTAAAGACGACCCAGGCACACGGGAAGAATAAGGAACCAGTCTGTTGTCGATCCTACGCGTAATAGCGGGGCGCTCGGACTGCTTCCTTGAAGAACTATACGCCACATTTCTTGACGGCAGTCGAGCTCAAAGGATTTCCTGGCGTGCCTGGGTACGACAGCAAGCGAAGGAGGGGGGAGGTGGAATGCGAAAGGGGGACGAGTGGGCAAGCCACACGAGCAAGGGGGGAAGTTGCTGTTGACTGAGGTGAACAATAAGGAAAACGGTTCATGGAGAAACTTGGAGGCATAAAAGAAAGTAAGAGTAAGAGAGCTCTTGCCCAGAAACGATGGGTAGTAGCGATGTTAGACAGTTAACCAAGGCGCGAAGGATGGTTTATCAGACCATTTGCTTGCGTTCCGTCATCCAGACCTTTCCTCATTCCAGCCACAATCGGCAAAAAGGCTTGAGGGAAACGACCCAAGGCTGACTGAAAACGGTTATGAGATCGGCGGTTCTAGCAAGAAAAAAAGGTCCTCCTGTTTCTCAAAGCCCTTCCAGAACAACTCTCAACGTCTTTTTTCGCCCAAGGAAAGGAATGAAAGAAGAAGAAACAAAAGAGTCTTGCTAAATGTCGGGCCTCGCATCCAAACCCTCGATAGGGGTTTTGTTTGGACAAAACCAAGACATGATAGTTTCTCAATCGGGCACAACACACAACCGCGGCGTTCTTCAGACTTATCCCAACGCGGCTGGGTCGCTTAATCCACGCCGCCACTCAAATCCCCGCATGCGTCGAACCTCTCAGTCCCTTCACCCACTGCCGCTCCAGCTATGCGCAACGGACCCAAGCCTCGCGGCAAGCCACCATTGCAAGAGGGCAGGCAGACTGGTGGAAAGGCAGACAGGATACGCTAGAGACACGAGAGGCGGACGCTAACACGAACCGGAGCTTTGGGACCATGGAGCACGGTGGTTTCCCCTTTTCATTCCCGCGTGAGTGCGCCCGTCAGAAGGCATTAGGGCTGTCAATCATTCGTGAGGTGGGGGGGGATGGACCCGTGGAGACCAAGTTCGAGAGCGTCCTGGTTCGCTTTGGTTAGGGAACTGGAAGCAAGGCCTTTCCGGACGGAATACCGTTCTAAAGTGTTGGTCAAGCATTTGCCGGCCGCGAGTTTCGACGTTGCCGTGTGACGAGCCACACGTCCTACAGGTCCAGCAAAGAGGCGGCGGCGCGCTATGTGCTTGATTTGCTCTACTGGTCGACTGTTCTTCGAAAGCCACACCGGATGCTTCCAGTGCTTTTGTTTCCATAAGGTCTCAGCAGTGCCCCCTTTGGAGGTTGTTCCACATGGGTTTTTCTTGTTCCTGGTCGATTCTTCTGTCTGCAAGCCCCCTGGTCGCCCCCGCAGACTCATACTCTCGACAAACGACGACGGCGACAACGACGACGACCCCGTGGTTATCTCGAGCCAGGGACCTCATGTACAGGTGGTTTTAGCCAATCGGTTGTTACGAAGATCCCTTGATTGGGACTCGTATACCCTCCATCATGACGTCTTTTATGGAATTGGTCGGCAAGGTGAATAACCTGAACGACCCGAGACCAGCGTTGAATCAAAAACCGGTTATGCTTGGCATCGTGATATCATTCCTGGTAGGTTCCTCTCCTTGGCACCGAGCACATGGACGCTGTGCTGTCCCAGAACATCATCCTAATATGTGTCATGCAGATTCTAGCGCTGCTATGTGCTGGCATGCGACTTTGGACCCGCATCTTCATTGTTCGAGCGGTAGGATGGGATGACTTCTTTCTGGTGCTCGTTATGATTTCAATCTCAGTTGGAAGTATTGGCACTTGCATATGTATGTCAGAATATCCTGCATCTACCCCTGCCTACTTAGTTTGCAGCACGTGCTAACGAGTGAATAAGGCATGGACTATGGGCTCGGAGATCATCTATTATTCATACAGTACGATAGGTTCATCAAGTTCATGAAGGTAATCGAATTCCCCCTCACAATGAATCCCTCAATCTAACCGTCTAGTACTAGATCTTCTACGTCTGCAACGGCACATTACCGATATCAACGTCCTTCATCAAGGTTGCCATCCTGCTCCAATACCTACGAATATTTGAGCGTGGTTCAAAATCACGAATTCTCACCATCATCATGATCTGCCTCGTGGCAATGTGGGGAGCCGCCTTCATTTTTCTCGCCTGGGTACCATGCATTCCCGTTGCAGCTTATTGGGACTGGTCAATACCCACCACCAGACGCTGGGGGTTCGGAACGCAGGTTGCGGAGGAATTAATTCGGACATATGAGGCACACGCCACGAGCAACATGATTCTTGACTTCATCATCTTTGCTATCCCTTTACCACTATACTTCAACACAGAGGCCAACAAAAGGTCCCGGAAGACCGTTCTCGGTCTTTTCTTGCTGGGCAGCCTGTAAGTTCTCATCCATAACAGCTTCCGAACACCATCTCTTTCCTGATATACTGACCAACGGCATGCTAAAGAGTTTTGATGCTCTCTGCCTGGCGCCTCGTATCACTAGTCCGCTCCCGCGCCGGAACGTACCCAACCTTCGACCCAACCTGGGCCGCTCCGGGACCCATGGCCCTCTCCATCCTCGAGATTGACATGGCGGCCATCTGTGCCTCCCTCCCCGTCTTCTGGCCCGTCCTTCAAAACAGCATGGGCATGATCTTTGTCACGCACGAGGTCAAAGTCACCACAGAAACAGTTGAGACGACGCGCAGCCGCGACGACGACGAGTGCCTCGAGCTATCCAACGGCGGCGCGGGAAACAACGGTTCCTTCTCATTCTCGCAGCAGAGCCCCGTACTGGATACGGAGGGGCTGATTGAGCAGTACCAGCAGCAGACGGACATTTTCGGGAGCTATCTCAAGGGCAAGACGACGACGGATGTGGAGACTGTGCCGACGCCGCTCCGGGACGTGCCGCCGGCCAAGGAGCCTGAGCTTTTTGGGAGTTATTTGAAGGGCAAGACTACGACGAATGTGAATGCGGATCCGACGATGAAAATGGTGTGATGCACAGAGGTTGGGTTGCCGCTGATGGCCTGGTCGGTAATCCGAGGTGCTTATTCTAACGACGTGACGACGATATCCGGGAGTATTGATGCAGGAAATGAGGGTGTTCGGGTTTCATCTTTTCTCCTTTTTTGTATTACTATAGATACCTCTACCTACACGGCCTTGCCGAGAACACCATGAGAAGAAGTGAAATCCAATCAATTTCTGGTGTCCCACTATTCAATCGTATCATTGACATTCATTTGAGATACCTATGTCATCGGAAGATGTGTTCGCCAACAGAAGTGGACAACCTATCACGTTCGATGTATTAGCAACCTTGGTTCAATCCGTCAGTTTTTCAATATGACTAGAAAGAAGCTGGCACGTGAAATGTTCCGAATTCGTGTTCCAGTCTAGAGGGTAGTAAAATGGTCTGCCGCCTCCATCTTACGTGGAAGTGAGCCTATCATCGCCGGATGCAGTAAGTCCTAACGATCTTCGCGGAACTGATCGACTCCATGACAATTAATTCCATGGCAGATGAAAATATATACATCCGGGATCTGTTCAGTGTTGTTTTGTTCCCGGTACACAAGCACGTAATAGGGTAAAGCTTCGAACTTCATCGTTAACGGCATTTCCGAAATCTCCATGATCTGATACGTCCAAGTCTTCGTTGCAAATTTTCGTCGTATCAAACTCAGAAACGCTCCGACTAAAAGTCACAGATTTGTCCACGAATCCTCACACTTGCTCCAAGATATTTCACAAAGTATTCCGGCTTCAGAATGGATTCTTTGATGACAGACTTATTATCAATACAAGCGCAGTAGGATTGCTGGACTTAACCACCTCAAGATAACAATTGTTTCAACTTAATTACTTTGCGTTTGCAGTTTGATTCCGTAGCTTGGCCTTTGCGATTCATCTCCCTTCTTGGTATTCAACTGCCACGTCGACTGATCGAAGACAAATGCCGTTAACTACTTCTCAGAAGCAGACTTGTTAGACGACAAATCCACACCAAAGATCCCCCCACCAAGCTGGACACCAAACTTCGTGGGACCAAAGCTGAACCTCGAACCGTCCGTAGAAGAGACAGCGCCAGAGGCGGCAGCATCAGCCTGCCCATTAAGCACAACCTTGAGGCCGCGCTTCTCAAAAAAGCCACCGTTCCATCCCTCGACAATTTCCATCAGGCGCTTCTCCTTGCACTCGTTTGCATTTGACAACTGCTTCTTGTCGTCAACGTCAACGGTTGTGTCGAGCGCCGCGGTGATGTTGGAGGCAAAGGCGGCCCAGTCTTGGACGGATATGTCGCGGGTCTGCCAGACGTCGACTGGGTCCGGGAAGGGGAGAGAGAGGGCGGTGGCGCCGGGCCCGACGATTATGTGGTGGATGTGGATGGAGTCTGGGCGTGGAAAGGGCGGTTGGCGGGCGACGGACGAGACGACGTCGTTGTAGGCTGGGGGAGGAAGATCAGAGCTCATTGTTCTCAGGAGATTTGTTTAATGCCTTTTTATGATCGATTCGAAATAGAGGGGTTCTTCATACGGAGTGTTTATGAGCGGTGTTCTAATGCTTTGAAGAGGTTTCTAAAGCTGACGAGGTTCATAGCATCTTAAACCGAAAGGTCGAAAGTAGCCAGATTAAGGTAGCCAGTGCGACATATCCGATACCAAGGTAGAATAGCCGGTTCGAAAACGCATCAAACCAACGGGCGAACACAATGCAGAGTTCAGCTCGACAAAAGAGACCCTGCTGCGGCACAGCCCTGCCCCTTCTATGATGGGTTGATTCGGTTAAGGACACCAGATATTAAGATACCCGTACACGTACGGATAGACATCGTCCCAACGTGGGATTGTAGGATCGAGGCTGCATATTCATGCATGGTTCAACAACAATACAAGTCTTCACAATACGAACCAGACCTTGCACTGACATGGCAGGACGGAAGTGAGATTCTTACTCATGGGGGCTGGACTCATTCATTTCTTCGGATGAGACGTTCGCGTCTTCTCCGGGCCATATACACCACCAATCAGCTTTTATAATTTGTTTGCAATACAGCGGCGCAGACGGAAAGATAAGCAGGGGTTCGCTCTTTTGCCAGAAACATTAGTTCCTCACTTTGCTGTAATCATTGCAGAACCAACAAGCGTTTTTCAGAACCAACACGGCCAAATCTAGACCCCCTCCTCGCGAAGCAGCCTTTTGTGCCTCTCTCAAATAGGAAGCTGGGGAATCCAGGGTCCTCGGACTAGCACGATGGTCAAGGGGGACGATGCAAGTAAGGCCTTTTGATTCGTTTTTTTCTCACCAACAAACAGAACGGAACGTGGAGTTTCCAATTCACTGGCCAAGGCCAGTTCGTACACATGCATCTCAAGTCAGATCAAGCCTTTTGCTTCCTGCCAGTCCAACTTTGGTAGCTGACTGTCCTGCGCCATGCGATCAGACCCTGGCAACACATCTCGTGGTCTAAACTTGTTTGATCCTCAACCACGCCATTCCATGCAGGGGACAAGGATATTGTAGCCGAGACCACCTCCATCCTCTATAGCTGAACGTTCCAACGGTTCCGCCACTTTATCACCAGGAAGTGAGGCCTGTCGGTGCCGTTGGATGCCAGCAGTACGCTATCTTCCAATTCGTGGTCATTATTCATAACAAGGGTACCTTCTCGTCGTCCTTCCATGAGCGCAAGAAAGAAGCTAAGAAGTCTGCTGATCTTGCAGATATATAAGTCAAACAAGGCCAATTGGCATCATCGTACTCCACTTGCGTCTCGACCTCTTTAGGGCCATTGTTGGCTGCGATCTCGAAGTCATCGTGACTAGTGTCTTGCGACTTCGTCGTTTCGTTTAATTCACCACGTTGTTTGCCTCCAATGGACACCAATGTTTCTTGCGCATCTCCGGGTGACCCAGGCGACTTCGCCTTCGGCCCGATGATGGATCCTTGTGTCCGCAAGTTCGACTTCACGCTTTATTTGAGGACACGATCTTGTCGATTCTCCCGTCTTCAATTTTCATCATCCTGGCAGCTTTGAGGATAGTTTCCCGCCGCTCGGTTCAGCAGCAAGTCGCAAGCAATACCTTTCGCCTCGTCAAACTAGTCAGTTCAGCCCTCACCTACTTGTCAAGCGTGTGCCAGACTGCAGCAAGAGATCAACGATAAGATCAAGCTAGATTCAGTCTACTGACAGAAAGAATCCAGGCCTCTATTTTGCTTTCACTGCCATCTCCGTCGCTCTCACCGCCCTCTGGGCTCGTGATGCGGATCTTACCCTCAATAACAAGACTGCAATCGCCGCCGCCGCTCTGACCATTCTAGAAAGTGTCTTCGTGGCTGGCCTCTCCTTCACGGAGCACTCGAGATCGCTCAGCCCATCCCTTCTTCTGAGCGCATTCCTTGTCCTGTCTACCGTCTTTGATGCCGTTCGCCTCCGAACTCTGTGGGTGAAATCCGTCGGGACTCCCATCGTCGCGCTCTCGACCGCGGCTTTCGGCCTGAAGATTGCGCTTCTCGTGCAGGAGGAGGCTAGCAAAAGACGATGGATCATCGACAACTCGAGTGAGTGTAGCTCGGAGGAGACGGCTGGACTTCTTAACCGCGTCGGATTTCACTGGCTCAATGGTCTGCTTCTCAATGGCTACTCTTCCCCCTTGACGATCGCCAAGCTTCCTGTCATTGACAGGCAGCTTCTGTCTGATCCTCTCTGGGACCGCGTCGGACAGAAGTGGAGGAACTGTGAGTAGCACTCCGAGTTTGCGCCAACCTCTTATTCACTAACGGGTCTAATCTGGCGTGACAGCGCCCAAGCAGGCAAATAATGCCTTGCTGGGGACTATCTTCTCAGCTCTGAAGTGGCCAATCCTGGCGCCTGTCCCCGCCTACATGATCCTCGTTGGGCTCCAGCTCGCACAGCCGTTCATGATCAGCACCATCATGGCTTACCTCGCGAACCCTGTCGACCACACTGAGGACCAGAGAAACATCGTGTATGGGTTGATCGGAGCTTATGGCATGGTATACATCAGTATTACGGTAAGTGAAGAATGCTTCAATTTGCTTTACCTTTATGAGGTGGAGTCTGACACTTTATCGGTTCTAGATTGTGACTGCAGGGTGCCAACACCTCGTCTTCCGCTACGCCACCATGATGCGTGGCTGCCTCGTACTCCTGATCTATGAGAAGACAACTTCCATGAGCATCACTGACGCTGAAGAGGCCGCTGCTGTCACTCTGATGAGCACTGACATTGAGAGAATTGTCAGCGGCATGTCCAAGATCCACGAGAGCTGGTCGACTCTTCTCCAGATGGCCGTGGCCCTTACCTTGTTGTATAGACAACTCGGGGTGGTGTTCATTGTCCCTCTTGTCCTTTTCTTGAGTGAGTAGCAGCCCAAACCTTCTCATGTTTGTTACAACTACTAACTTGATGTTCAGTTTGTGCCGTTGGAGCGGGAGCTCTGTCGGGTTCCGCTGGGGGTTTTCAGGCATCCTGGATGGCGGCTATCCAAAAGAGAGTTGGTATGTCCGTCACCTTATGTTGGCTGTTCTGGCCACATATGAGCCTATTGGAATGAACTGACCTTTAAAACGTGTCGCAGCGGTCACTTCTTCTGTTTTGGGATCTCCCAAAGGCGTCAAGTTATCCGGATTCACCGACAAAATGTTCCAAATTATTCAAGACTTGCGCTTGAAGGAAATCGCGTCCGCGGCAAGGTTCAGAACCATGTTGCTCGTCATTGTCACTCTGTGTACGTCAGCTAACGATGAATACAACCATTCGAACTCCATGGAGCTAACCGAGCACAGCCTACGCACCTGGTTCCATTTCCCCCGTGGTGACCTTTGGCGCATATACCGCCATAGCACAAAAGGACCACACCACGCTAGATTTGAACCGCATCTTCACGTCCCTCGCCCTGCTCAGCCTCGTCACGCAGCCCCTGAATGAGCTATTCGCTCATCTCCCCAACATCGTCGCCTCAGTAGCCTGCTTCGGGCGTGTGCAAGCTTTCCTTTTGTCCCCGGAGACGTCCGCTACGTCGGATGTTCGTAGCTCCTCGCCCACCAGCGAATCGCATGTCGACACTTCTGGTCGCCAGCAGTCTGAGAAGCAGCCCTCTGCCACAATCACCTCCCACTTGGACCCTCAGGCCAGCGGGCATGCTATTGAGATTCGCAATGCCAGGTTCGGGTGGAAGGCAGATGCGGAGCCTGCCTTGACTAACCTCACATTGGACATCCCCCACGGAAAGCTCACAGTGATTGTTGGTCCCATCGCCTCTGGAAAGTCGACCCTCCTCAAAGCCATATTGGGCGAGACTCCGGTTGCAGAGGGAACTATCAACCGGGCGTCTGACAATATTGCCTTCTGCGACCAGGTTCCCTGGCTCACGAACGAAACTCTGCGTCGCAACGTCACAGGCTTCTCCCACTTTGAAGCTTCTTGGTATAGTACCGTCATCCGAGCTTGTGCTTTGGAGGATGACATTGCGACCTTCCCGGATGGCGACCAGGTCATGGTCGGCAGCAAGGGCGTTACTCTCAGTGGTGGTCAGAAACAACGAGTGGTACGCCTCCTTCACTGCCTTCCTGGTCTTTCCGACAAGTGATTTGCCAATCAAAGCCTTTTGCAGGCTATCGCCCGCGCCGTTTACTCACGTCGTGACATCATTCTGTTTGACGATGTCTTCAGCGGCCTCGACTTCGAGACGCAGACTCGTGTCTTTCGTAACCTCTTTGGAGTATCTGGCCTCTTGAAACAACACAAGGTCACTTCACTTTTCGTCACTCATGCAGGCATGTCACCTTAGTCCCTATATATCTGGTTCCTCTGCCATGTCTGACAGTCATGCAGTTCACATTCTCCCTTAAGCAGACTACATAATCACCTTGGACGGGACCGGCACAGTCGCTTCTCGTGGTCCATTTGAGGAGCTCAACAAGCAGCCTGGATGCATCAGCAAGTTCGGCCTGATCACCAATGAAGATGCGATCCAGGGCGACGTCGTGAAGGATGACGGCCAATCCGCTTTCAAGCCTGAGCATAAAGAGAGGATTGCAGACAATAGCGTTGATGAGGAGACACAGCGCATGGGTGATCGTTCGGTCTACAAGTACTACTTCCAGGCAACGGGTCCCCGCAGCGTTCTCATCTTCATCACTCTGCAGGTCATCTGGGTATTTCTAACAAAGTTCCCCGGTACGTCCCTACGTGTACTGAATGGGAACCTAAGCGGGAGCCTGACTAATATCTGCGCAGAAATTTGGCTCTCCTGGTGGGGTGAGGCGAACGACAGTCACCCTAATCAGGAGACCGGAAAGTACATGGGTGTCTATGCCACTCTCCAAGTCTTGTCGCTTGTTGCGTTGGCCGCAGTCTGCTGGTAGGTCTTACCGACGACTGGCATCCTGAGACGTGTTACTAAGGTGATTGCTCCAGGCACGTCGTACTTCGAATGGCTGTGGCTTCTGGCGTTAGACTTCACTGGATCCTCCTCGAAAAGACTCTTCGGCAAGTAATGATTATCTCTGTCGGAACAGCAATTCTTTCTAACAATTCCAAGAGCACCTCTGTCGTTTTTCGCTGCAACCAATACCGGCTCCATCGTCAACAGGTAGAGAAACACGTTTCCTTTAAGAGCTTCCAGGACTGACCTGTTGTACAGATTTAGCCAGGATATTCAATTGATTGATGCTGAGTTGCCAATCTCTCTTCTCAACGTTGCCGCCAGTAAGTGCTTCGGTTCCGATACGATGGGGCGCTGGCACTGACCTACCGTACTTTTAGACGGACTCATCTGCATTGCCCAAGCCTTGATGATCATTCCCGCTTCCTACCAGGTTATTGCAGTCTTCCCGTTCCTTGGCGGTATTCTCTGGGTCATCCAAAGATTCTACCTGCGGACGTCGCGCCAGCTTCGTTTCCTGGAGCTCGAAGCAAAGGCCCCCATGTAGTAAGTATCATGTCAGCCGGTTCATGCAGCAGATGGAAGAATCCCATCCTAACGTAAACCGGCTCCCAATTCCTCGAGACCCTCAGCGGCCTATCCACAATCCGCGCCTTCGGCTGGCAAAAGGACCTCACGAACCTTATGCGCGATCGCCTCGACACCTCCCAGAAGCCAATGTACCTCCTCTACAGCATCCAGCGCTGGCTCACTCTCGTCCTCGACCTCACCGTCGCCGCCCTCGCCATCGTCCTCATCTCCGTCGCCGTCGCCCTGCGCGGCCGCGTCGGCGCAGGCTTCGCCGGTGTTGCCCTGTACAACATCATGGGTCTCAGCAGCGCCATGAAGGCAGCCATCACCGTCTGGACCGTCCTCGAGACCTCCATTGGTGCCGTTGCGCGCGTAAAGACGTTTGCTGAGCAGACTCCCGCCGAGAGCCAGGCCCAGGAGTCGCAGACGCCGCCGGATTCGTGGCCTGAGAGCGGAGCGATCAGCTTTCATAATGTCACTGCTTCGTATGGTGAAGGCATGGATAACATTTCTTCAAAGGTTTCTTTCACTGTTTTGCCTGGCCAGAAAGTTGGTATCTGCGGTCGAAGCGGGAGGTATGTTTCATTCTTCTCCACCACAATGATGATGCTCCAGTAACGCCTTACTGACAACACTTCTGCAGTGGCAAGAGTTCTCTCCTGCTCACCTTGCTCCGCCTAGTTGACTGCAACGAGGGTCAGGTCATCATCGATGGCGTCGACGTCGTGACCATGCCGCGCGAGGTGTTACGTCAGCGACTGAACGCGCTTCCACAAGAACCTCCCTTCTTCAGCGGCAGCGTCCGCCTCAACTGCGACCCCGAAGGCACGATTTCGGATGAGATCGTCACCGAGGCCCTCCGCACCGTTGGCCTTCTAGGGGTGGTTGAAGAGAAGGGCGGGCTCGATGCGGAATTCTCGGATGACTTTTTCTCTCACGGCCAGAAGCAGGTATTTTGCCTGGCGAGAGGGATATTGCATCCCGCCAAGATTGTGGTCATGGATGAGGCTACTAGCAGGTAGGACGTTATTCTTCTGACAATGTGTTGATTCATGTAGTCTCTGTTCTCGCTTGAGAAGGATTCAGCGGCTGACTTTGAGATGTTTAGTGTCGATGTTGATACAGAGAAGAAGATGATGAACGTCATTCATGAACGATTCGCCGACGCAACAATCATCTCAGTGCCTCACCGTCTTGACACTGTTCTTGACTTTGATAAGATCATCGTCTTGGACAAAGGTGTCATCGTTGAGGAGGGCTGCCCCGCTGAGCTTCTCAGCCGGGCGTCTGCGTTCCGAACTCTCTATGAGACATTCCATAGTTAAACATCGCAGATGCTGAAGTGGTGAAGGGCTTTTAATGGCGCGTAATATGTCACACAGGCTTGGACATCTGACTAAGGATCAGTATTGGATTTGCATTTTTCCTTCACGACTTAGCATGTCACCAGGATATTAGTCGAACTCTTTTATCCCCATTCCTCTGCCTCCTCCGATTCCCACGTGCCACATCTATCCCGTCGGTCTTGCTCACCCGGCGCCTGCATTCTAAGAGCATTAATGTTGACGGCCCCATAACCAGCGCCGGCGCGCCTAGGTCGGCGATCTTAACGGAGTATAGCAGTATTGGCTTTTGATACATCTCATTTAAACGGGGTTCCGGGGAGACCATTGAGGCGGCGCACTCAATATGGCACATCAGAAGCTACCTGTCTGGATGTGCTCTGACATCTGGTGGGGGATAGGTCATTGCGGCAGCGATCGATACTCTCAGTCATACCAGTTCAGCGTTCAGCTTTCGAATATCGCATTGAACAACATATAGAAATACGGACTTCCAGGTCTAGATATCTTCCAAAAAACACAAGAACAAAAGAGTTAACCCCCCCCCCCCCCCGGTGGCGAGCTGGAGGCTACATCTCTGGCGCACGTGCTGGGACTCGAACACGGGACCTCTCAAAGCCTTCACCGATTAGGCTGTTTGTGGACTTCAACCACTCCACCAACCAGCCAGTTTTGACCTAACTTCCAAGGGGACACTGCTGGCTGATGACAGAATTGGACTTGAGGGGGGTTATGTACCCTTCTCGTGTGTTCATATGGAAGGTGCGGCAGACGAGGATCCGGGAGCCTGGAGGGAAGGCGCGTTTGGCACCATCAGGGTCGTGCCTTCCGTGGGATGAAGTCGAAGGGGGATTAGTCATCTGGAAGACATCATGTCTTGAAGGTAGCCAATTCCTTCATTCCCGCATTAGAAATAGCATATAATTGGACCGAAGAGCATTGACCGCGGCCCTGATAGCAGGGAAAGTAAGGTGGATTATGCCATTGGCTTCTATGTAAGATGGCTGGTCCTTATTAGATGGCTTTTTGAACTAGTTCACTGGAGGCTGAGTAGCAGGGGAGTAAGAGTTCAGTATGACGCATATTACTACTACCACCGGCAAAAGAAAGCAATACGTTGAGAGTAATGTGTCTTTCATAAAAGCCGTCCAGCAAAAAGAACCCGTCATCACCATCTGCAAGGAGAGAAACATCGCGCCTCGTAAATCCCAATCGGGGTTGAACCCCGCGTCGACCATAAGCTGCATCGACACCTTGTCGTTGCAACGGTTACACCCGCCAAGGCACCGGTAAGCTTATCGGGATGTAGATCGGGCCTTGGGAGCTTTTTCGCCATGCGGGGGAAACGTCTAAGCGAGACAGGGGAGTCATGAATCTGCAAAGGCAATTACTGGCATTTCCGATGGTTTGGAGCCTGGGGAGGAGCGAGTGATAGCGGTCAGGACAAGCTGCCAGCATGAGCAGAAACGGCTATTAAAGCCATGCTGCCCGAGTCCTTAACCAAGGGCTGTCGGCGCAAGAGACTTGTGCGCTCAATTGACCGCAGCATCATCCCAAGTATTACATACTTCCCACCGCAAACATGATGATCCTCTCTACAATCGCAGCATTCACAACATTCCTCCTCCTCCTCCTCAGCCTCCCCCTCAAAACCACCGCCCAACTCGCCCCCAACGAAACGTCAACCTACACCTACGTCGTAATCGGCTCTGGCCCAGGCGGCGGTACCCTAGCCTGCAACCTCGCCCGCGCAGGCCACCCAACCCTCCTCCTCGAAGCGGGCGACGACGAGCGCGACGACATCCGCACCGTCATCGCCAACGGCGGGTACTTCATTACCCCAAGCAACAGCTGGTCCTTTTTCGTGCGGCATCACACAGACGAGGAGGTCGAGCTGCGGAATAACCACCTGACGTGGCGACTCCCATCCCAAAATGGGACCGGTATTGGGCCGTATTGGGTCGGGAGCGCGGCGAGGGCGCCAGAGGAAGCAGAGTTATTGGGGGTGTGGTACCCGCGCGGCGCGACGGTCGGGGGATCGAGCGTGACGAATGCGATGGCGACGTGGTTGCCGAATGATTCGGATTGGGATTTTGTGCAGAATGTCACGGGGGATGCTTCGTGGAAGTGAGTCTATTTCCGTGATTGTGGAAGACACATTGAATATATCTGAAAGCTAGAAAGCTAACTTGAGCATGGGTTGAAGCCACAAGAACATTCGGCAAATCTTTGAGAGGATCGAGAAGAACAACTATCTCCCCGAGGGCACGCCAGGTCACGGATTTGATGGCTACTTCAACACAAATCTGGGCAACGGGTCGCAGTATCTCAATAACCCTGGTCTCATGGATATTCTCAAGTCCCACTTGCGGTCCATTGGGAAAGATCCGGAGAAGCTGATCGAGATGGTAGGTAGCGACGGGAACTTCCTCAGCGAAGATAGAGACACGACGGAGGGCATGTGGGGGCTGTCGTTCCATGCGACGAACAAGTGGGAGCGGTACAGCTCTCGCACGTACATCTATGAAACTCTGGCAGCCAAGAACGCAGATGGCTCTGCCAAGTGGCCCCTGACCTTGTCGACGAATTCTCTGGCCACGAAAGTCCTCTTTGAGGAGACAGAGGGTGGAAAGCCTAGGGCCGCGGGCGTTGAGTATTTGGCAGGCAACTCGACGTACGGCGCCGACGTGCGGCGTAATGCGTCAACGACGGGTGAGACACGGCGAGTAATGGCATCTCGCGAAGTCATAGTTGCAGGTGGCGCTTTCAACTCGCCTCAACTTCTACAGCTCAGCGGCATCGGGAACAAAACAGACCTTGAAGCACTTGACATCAAGGTCGTGGCAGACTTGCCGGGCGTGGGGCGAAACCTCCAAGACAACCAAGAATTCCCGGTCGTGGGCCACGCTCAACTTAACCTCACGGCTACTCAAAACCCCAACGAGCCAACCTGCGCGAAAGGGAGCCCCGGAGATCCATGCGAGGAGCTGTGGCGGCAAGGAAAGGGCCCATACATGCGGCCTGGATACAACTCGAACGCGCTGCTTCTTAGGTCTAACTTTTCGCTGACGGGAGAGCGAGATGTCTTCGTCTTCAGCTGGCCAAGGGCGTTCCGCGGGTTCTGGCCCGAGGTGCAGCAGCCGGAGCTTCTTGATCCGCTGACTACCGTCGGCTTCTCAACAGTCAAGATGCATCCACAGAACACAGCCGGATACATCAAGATCCGGTCCGCAGACCCGACGGAACCGCCGCAGATCAACTTTGAGCTGTACAAGGAAGGTGCCGAGACGGACCTGGGAGCGTTAGTGGAGGTGGTGGCGTGGGGCCGACGGAGCATGCGCGGCGTCCGAGGTCCGTGGGGTCCGGTGGAGCCGGCCGAACCTCCTTGTTCGCGAGTCGAGAGTAATGGCCGCTGCGGCGATGCAGACCCGGAGTCGGACAAGGATTGGATCCGAGAGCAGACTTTTGGGCATCATCCTACGGGGACATGCAAAATGGGTGCGGTTGATGATGGTATGGCGGTGGTGGATTCCGAATTTCGGGTACTTGGCGTGGACGGACTTAGGGTTGTCGACGCCAGTGTCTTCCCGCGGGCTCCTGGAGCATTTCCTGCCGTGGCGACGTTTATCATTAGCCAGAAGGCATCAGATGTGATGCTGGGAGGTCTAGGAACGTCGAAGCCGTGAAGGATGATGGTGATAGGCCAAAGTAGATGAGAAGACGTTACGCGGGGTACCGATTATGAGAGATTTCTGAGTTCTTCCATGCATTTTGGTATGGGAAGGTGTGAAGTGCCAGCCACGAGCCACGTCGCCCTGGCGTCGCGTCGCAACACATCTGGATGAAAGTGTCGCAGCGTGTCCTCAGAGCAGTCGCGTCGTATCCGTACCGAAGAGCGTCATCTGGTCCCTTGTTTTTTCCGTTGGGGAATATGTGTCGTTCAGAATGGGATGAAGGGAGGATTTCAGGGTCGTCTGATGTTCTGGAGCCTTCCAGTAGGTGGGATAATTGGGGGAGAAGCATGTGAAGGTATCTCAGCTGCGAGAATGGGTGGGGGAGATACGTGGCTGGAGTGTGGCTCTGTTAGCGGGGCTACCTTCCATGCTCCTGGTTCGAGCACAGCCACAGCTCTCCCCCCCTTATGGCACAAGCTCCTCAAATCCGCAAGCGATGACGTTTGGACCTCGCCCCCCTCGTGGCCCACTTTCCCCCTCTGATGGAAGCTGGCACTGGGCCCAGACTGGCCCCTGCTCCTTGCTTGCCGCCCTCGCTCTTGCCTTTCCTTCCTCGATGCCCAGCCAGACAGGGCAGCTACCACCGGGTGGCCCCTCTTTCTCTCTCTCTCGCTCAACAGGGTCCCTGCTCTTTGTGGTGCCCAGCATCGTCACCAGCTGGAGGCCGCCCCTTCTCCCCTGAGTCTGGGCTGGCATGCCAGGACGTGGATGGATGCTCTTTCGTCGCCTGCCTTGGCTGAAAGGTAAAGCGCGTTCTCATGACCCTTCGTCTGATCATCATAGGTACTCGCCTCCAACATTCCCATCCAGACACGTCCAGCTTTTACATAAAACCCATCATCCACACGATTTCGAGCAACGTTCTTCCTGCTCGACTCATTTTCTGCTTTTTCCCAGATACCCCTCCAACTTGAGAGACAACGTACATAACCGCCCTTGATACCCCATCCAGTCTCCAGTTACCCCTCACAAAACTCTCTCCTACAACACTTTTCACAACACTATTCAACAAACTCAAACACCAAACAACCGCCAACATGTCAAACACCACCGTTCACGTCAAGAACATCGCCTCGGCGACCGAGGACAAGGAGATCAAGGACTTCTTTAGCTTCTGGTAAGTTCAATCCTGTCGACTCCTCCATGGCCTGATACCCACCCCTGTTTTCACCGCAGCTCCCACTGAACAGTTGTTAACATTCTGCAGCGGCAAGATCACCAATATCGAGGTTACTCCCGCCGGCGAGACTAAGGACGCTGCCGTCACTTTCGAGAAGGAGACTGCCGCCAAGACGGCTCTCCTCCTGAACAACACTCAGCTCGGCACCTCTCACATCACCGTTACCAGCGCCGGTGGCGACCCTACCGACGACGCTCCCCACCACAAGGAGAACGCCGATCGCGACTCGGACGACATTACACAAGAAGAGAAGCCTCGCTCTCGCATCTTTGCCGAGTACCTTGCTCAAGGATACGTTGTTGGTGATGCCGCCCTGCAGCGTGCCATTGAGCTCGACAGCCAGCACGGCGTTTCCAACCGCTTCTTGACCACCCTCCAGGGCCTTGACAGCAAGTACCACGCAACCGACCGCGCCAAGGCCACAGATCAGTCCTATGGCATCACTGCCAAGGCCCAGGGCATCTTTGGCGGCCTGAGCTCGTACTTCGAGAAGGCTACCAGCACACCCACTGGCAAGAAGATTGTTGGTTTCTACGAGACCGGCTCCAGACAGGTCCAGGACATTCACACCGAGGCCCGTCGTCTTGCCGACCTGAAGAAGGAGGAGCACGGCGGAAGTGCCTACAAGGCCTCCGGTCTCGAGAGATTCCTTGGAAAGGAGAAGGCTGCCCCCGCTGCCACCGGCGAGACTATCGGCACCCAGTCTCCCATTCAGCCCGACCCAACGACGGCCGTCCCCCTGTCCAAGCCGTCAGCTGCCACCGACGAGAAGACTCCCTTGTAAAAGAGTGACGAGAAGCGGTTTGCAAAAGAATTTGACGGCAGGCGTTGGCTGGGTTTATTAGGCACAAACGTTTCATGATTGCGACGCGTGTGGACTTCCTTGGCACTTAGGTAGCTACGACTTTGAATGCAAATCATGGCATCGAGCATATCATTAAATCGCTCACTTTAAAATCTGATGTGACTGTGTTGGCCTGGCTGTATGTGTTGCCCATCTGAATTAAGCAGCCGATCGTCCCATGGCTGTACTGGTAATTTCTTCCTCTGGTGTCAAGGTGAGTTGACAGTGTTTGCAATACTACACTCAATGGGAATTTTGAAAGTTTCCGGAAGAGCCCTAATGATCATCTTTCAAAAGTTTCCCAATCACCGCTACCCTCAACCTTCAAAATCTACGCAAATTTTGCTGATCTAATAGTGTTGCGTAGTTGACACCGTAGTGGACATGGTGTAGGGTAAGTCAGACTGGCAATGCCTAATCTAGACAGGATATGGTTATCCAAATTTTTACGACAAAGTGGACGCTGGTGCTTTCAAATGCTTTTCGAGAAGTTAAGGTATCTATAATACAGCCTCTCACACTATCACAGTATGTGAAGTCATTGCCTCATGTTCCCAACGCCTTTTTGTACAAATGCCATTAATGACGCTTATGCCCTTTTCTTTACTGCGTCTTGGAGAACTTCTCCTTGAGGGCGTCGTCGAGGGGTCCCTTGGGGTTCGACTCTAGCTTCTGTGATGAGGGTGGACTTGATTAGTTCTGACCCTATGAAATAATGGGGATTTGAGGAGGAGGAGGAAGAGGAGGAGGAGGAGGAGGAGGAGAGCTGGAAACGTACATCGAGAGACTCCTTGTTGGTCTGTTCCTTGTTGGAAGCGTTGTCGGTTCCCTTGCCGGAGGCGGGGGGGTCTTGAAGCTGAGCGCCGGTTTGGCGTTCAGGCGAGGGGGATTGGCGACCTTCGGGCATTTTGAGTGATTGGGTGAGGTTGGGAGTGCTTGAGATGGTATGGATGCTTTGCTTGTCACGGAATGGAATGGTTGTATCGTGGGTTGATGAGGCTTGGTTGGTGAAGGAGAAAGAGTCACGTAGAGGAATAGAGAGACATGAGATTAAATACGAAGGCTAACTAACGCAAGGTAGCTCACGGCTGGTGCTAGGACGGAGGTAACACTCCTGTGGTACATCATTCTACATCACGTTTACGACAGGCAAGGTATTCATCCATACGAGGAAAGAGGGGACAGAGGCTGGTCCAGTCTCAGCACGGAGGGGCTCTTGCGTCAATGGAGGGGCGTTGCACGGAGGCGCTTCTCTAAGCTCGACCTCATGCTCTGTTGGGCAGAGAGGAAGGGTGCTCTTTGAGTGGTGGGAATTGATCAGATGAGGGGAGATTAGCAGCTGGTTGCTGATTGCGGCGGTTGACATGTTGATGCCGTCATGCGGCATGCGAGTGGTGGTGCGCTGGTGGTTGGATGGAAGGTGCTTAGAGCTCGAGGGGCGGCGTCGGGGTTTGACGTCACCTTTGTTGAGGATGAGGATTGGAAGCTCGATTAGATGGGCTGCTTTATCGATAAAGCTCCCGTTATCTTCAATCTAATCGATAAGATAATGGGTGGCTCCGGGCGAAGAGCGGGAATATCGCCGAGCTCGGCGGAAATCCAAAAGACGGAGCGCAGGAGCTGCAAGGGGGACGACAGCGGAGGGCCCGCTGAAGAATGTCGCTAGGTGAATAGCCGACCGGAGCGGACGCCTTCCGGCAATGGGCTAGGCACCTAGAGGTGCGTGTCGCGGTAGCTTGCATCGCAGGTGACGCCTGTCATCGCGGTCGGTTGATAGGAAGATCATTCTCGTCAGTCTCGTCTCTCATTTTCTGTTTCATCGGTGGGGAAGGATCGTCTACGCTGTGAGATTAGCAGGTATGGGAAAAGCAAAGTCGTGGATTCTCTGCAAATTGTCAGAAGATGAATGTCTTGGGTTTTATTTTCGGCCAAGACACATCGTGAGTCGAATCGAATACCAGTCGGAGGAGTAGCTGCCTGCCGCGAGGTGCCGTGTGTGGTGCCGTGTCTTCATGCGGGAATCCAAAGCCCGTAAACTGGGACTTTGGGTATGGTATTCTGTCGTCGATGCCGATCTGTAGTTGTTGATGTTCCAGGGGTGTGACTCGAGCGGCACAGCAAAACAATTCGATAATGCCCAAGTATTGTGATGCAGTGGAGCGCGCCAAGTGATTACCGTCGTCCCATCCCCAACGCTCCCGCATATCCAGATGAAGACGGAGAGAAATGCTGCCCTGAATGCTGCGAGGAGTGCGAGGGTGCCATGGTTAATTAATAGAAACCTGCCCCTTCCAGGCCTTCCAGGCTTCAGCACGCGGCCTGGAGCATTGCAAAAAACAGGCTTCAGCCCTTCGGCACGATATTGAGGGAGCATTGGGACATTTCGGGGTCCTTGTTTTCGGGCGTTATGGACAAGGGAAGCAATAGTAAGAAAAAGTCTAAATCGCGGGGCACACCACCCGAACGGGCAAAACAGGCACGGCGTTGATGGGAAATCATGGTTGAAGGACGGGCTTGCTTGTCTGTTTGGAACTCGGGGATATTGAAATGCGACTATTGGTGATTTGTTCAGGCTTAGGAAACACGAAAGTGGTGTCATGTCTCACTGCCTCGGTCTGAAGCCCATGAGGTGGCCCATGGATGATGGCGGATCGGCTTGCAATTTTCGATCAACGCACAAACGACAAACCCGGGGGGGGGGGGGACCACCACGGCACCTGCACGGGATTCAAGGGATGACAGGACGGGAAGCCACATGGACAATACACGGATGGGGCAAGTCGCATAGAAAGTTGGCTAAGAGCAAGCGGCAGATGCCAAACGGACAATAGGACGAGCGAAGAAGGAAGCGACGAGTTGACGATCACCAGCGACGAGTCCGTAACTGGGAAGGCGGCTCTTGCTTGCCTTGTCGAATTGGGAAAGGGGCGGGTTTGTCTCGCGGCAGGTGCCCCAAGCTAAGGCCAGAGACAGCCGAAAGAGGGAAGGCAAAGCCCACCTCAGACTCAGAGTGGCAGAGTGCGTGAGCGCAAAGGGAGGAAAGGGCGGGTTGGGTGTGATGGGGTCATTGGGATCAACAACAATGGGTGGTCCCTGCCTCAAGTGTCTTGTGCCTTGTACCTTAAGTTGCGCTTCCACCGGGAAGGTTGCACCTCGCACTCGCCCACCTGCCACACGACCTTTGTTTGTTTGACGAAGGAAGCACAAGGTGCGACCCCATCGGAAGGAAAACTCTACCTTCTTTTGACTTCACTCCCTCACGATTGTTTCTCTCATCCCAACACACCAAACACCTTTCCGAATGAGCAATTCAGCCTAACGAATGGGATAGCTTACCTTGCAACACCAATAGATGACAGACGATCACGACGAACATTAGCACCAAACAACATGGACAACAAATAACTAAAAAGGCCGTACAAATTGGTCGCTAAGACTACTAAACACCATTGCTACTCTTACAAGACCGAATCCAAACATTTTTGCCAGAAAGACCCGAAAAACCGTACAAATGACACGCCAAAGAAATTACACGTTCGTAAACCATCGTCAAAACAGTACCCGATAGGTCCACCACGCGAGTACAACAAGTCATGCAATCGTTAGATTCGCTTATTTCTTCTTGCCGCCACCAAGAGCCTTGGTCAAGCTGCCGAGGCCGAGACCATCCAGCAGGCGGTTGAGACCGAGGGTTCCGAGCAGACCATCGACAATCTTGCCGAGGCCGAGACCGTTGAGAAGACGGCCGACCAGGTTGAGAACTCCAGTCAGCAAAAGACCGACGGCAGCCAGAATCTGGAACAGAGGCTCGGTGAGCAGTCCCCAGAGAGGGTTGAGCTCAGCCTTTGCCTTGGGGAGATCCTCAAGTTTGCGCTTGGCACCCTCGACAGTTTCCGTGATGGTACCAGTCAACTGTTATCATAGTTAGCACACATTCATGGTCATGCTGGTATAGTATTGGGGTCAGACTCACCTCCTTGAGAACCTCAGCGAGGTGGTGCTCCTCGGGAGTGGCCTCACGAGTTTGGGCCTTGGACTTGGCGTTCTGCTGGATGCGTCCATCGGGGTCCAAGGCACGAACACTGCCGTTCAATTCAGTCAAGAGCTTGCCACCCTCCTCAATGAGAGGCTTGACATCCTTGACCAGCTGCTCCTCATCTCGCTCCTCCTTGGGCTGACGCTCAGCAGCCTCAATCTTCTGCGTAATCATCTTGCAAATGGGACGGAGGCGGTCCAAACCCTGCTCAATCAAGCCACCGAGGTTCTTGGCCAACTTGCGGTCGGCCTCGGCCTCGATGCGAGCCTGCTTCTCCTCCTCAGTCTCCTCGGGAACCTCCTCTTCCTCGACAATATCCTCGACGAGGGTGACGTGTCCGACGACACGGTCCTTGGAGTCGACAACGTCGTTATCGCTGTTGACTTCCTTGCCGGAGCAGATGGTGACCTCGCCAGTGGTAAGTCTGCCGATGATGTTTCCATCCTCGTCACAAACCTCACCGTTCTTGTTGACCTTGCGGCCCTCCATAGGTCCCTTCTTTTGAGGAAGGTCGGAGATGGCAGTAACATGGCCAACGACGCGGTCCTTGGAGTCGACAACATCGTTGTCCTCGTTAACCTTCTTGCCAGCGCAGATGCTGAGCTCACCGCTGGTAAGCTTGCCAAGGGTCTCGCCGCTGTCGCTGACGACGAAACCCTCCTTGTTGACAACCTTGCCTTCCATAGGGCCCTTGGGCTCAGGAATGTCCTCGAGAAGCTCGACATGGCCGACAACACGTCCCTTGGAGTCAACCACATCGTTGTCCTCGTTGACGGGCTTGCCGGCGCAGGCCTTAATCTCACCAGAGGTGAGCTTGCCAATAACGTCGCCATCCTCGTCGACAACCTCGCCGCTGCGGTTGACCTTGCGGCCTTCCATGGGTCCCTTCTGCCTCTCAGGAGCAGCCTCGGGCTCCCAGCGCTCAGCCTTGCCGAGCAGGTTGCCATTGCGGTCGAGAATGTCACCATCCTCGTCAATAGGGCGGCCGAAGAGGACCTTGGCGTCACCCTGGACAAGGCGACCAACAATGTCTCCAGAGGGGGTGACAATGGTACCGTCCTTGGCGACAGTGCAGCCGGGAAGCTCAGCGAAGGGGCCCTCCTTGGCTCCCTCACGATCACCCTCGGCGACAAGCTCAGCTCTTCCGATGATGTCTCCAGACTCGCTGCGAACGTTTCCGTCCTTGTCGCACATGCGTCCAATCAGGCGCTTGATGTCGCCCTCAACGATGCGGCCATATATGGTGCCGTCCTTGTCGACAACATTGCCAGCCTTGTTGACGCGCTTGCCAGCGAGGGCAGAGTTGTCAACAGGCGCTTCCGGTTCGGGCTCGGGCTCCGACTCAGGCTCCCAACGCTCGGCCTTGCCAATGGCATTGCCGCTCTTGTCAAGAATGTCACCGTCGTCGTCAACCTTCTTACCCTTGAGCTTCTTCGGGTCACCCTCAATGACGCGACCGACAATGTCACCCTCAAAGAGAACGTGTCCATTAGACTCGACGGTTGCGCCAGGGAAGTCCTCGAAGGGAGCAGGCTCGCTGAGCTCCTCACGCTCGGTCTCGGGGATGGGCTCGGCCTTGCCAATAACCTTGCCGCTATCATTCCAGATCTCACCAAGCTCGTTGGCCTTGCGACCAACCAAGTGCTTGAGGATACCAGAGACAATGCGACCGACGGCCTCACCCTTGTCGTTGACGAGGTTGCCGGCCTTGTTAACCTTGGCACCCTTCAGGATGGAGAAGTCGATGGTGTCCTTGAGGAGCTCCTCAGCAACCTCAGACTTAAGCTCGGCCTTGCCAATGATGCTGCCGCGCTCGTTGACAATGTTACCCTCGGCATCGATGTTCATGCCAACGAGGTCTTCCGGGTTGCCCTCGGCGATGCGGCCGATGGAAACGTCGTCGAAGATGACCCTGCCGTCGTCGTCGACCTGAGCGCCAGGGAACTTCTCGAATGGCTGGAGAAGCTTGTCACCGGCAACAGAGACGGTGCGCTGGTCATCGGGAATGGCAGAGCGGATGGTGCTGAGGACGCTCTTGATGTCGTCCTTGATGGTAGACTTGGGAGCAGACTCAGAAGCAGCGGTGACGTCAATGTCAGGAACATCGCCAGTCTTCGCAGTGGCGGTCTCGGCAACGTCTTCAATGCCCTCGACACCGGAGTCTACACCCTCATCGACAGCCTCGAAGCCCTCACCCTCGACACCCTCACTCTCGACACCCTCAGTCACGCCCTCAGTCTTGGGGAACTCGCCAGTCTGGGCATCCTCAGGAACGTCGAACTGCTCCTCAGGGTTCTGCTGGTTGGCCCAGTCCTCAGTCGCATCAGATTCGCGAACAGTCTCGGCGCCGGACTTGGCTTCCTCAACTTGAGAGGCAAGATCCGAAGGAAGCTTGGAAACGAGGTCGGCGGGGAGCTTGGATTGAGCGTCGAATAGAATCTGCGATACAGGGATGTCGGCAGTCTGGACATCTTCCGGAAGCTCACTCTTCAGACCGTCGGGAATCTGCGAGACAGGAATGTCGAGGGTAGCAATGTCATCCGGAACGCGGGACTGAGCGTCAGTCTGGGCAGTACCAGCCTTCTCGGTCGCGTCGTCCTTGACGGTCTCGGCACCCTCTGTCGCCTCCTCGATGGGTTCGGCGTCGACCTCTTGCAAGTCACTCTTGCCGTCGATTGTCGATTGCTCTGTGAGGTCTGTCTTGGCGCCTTGGGAATCTTCAGTCTCTGTCTGGGTGTTCTCTCCGCCGGTTGTGAGCTTACCATCAGCGTCAACGTCGGGTTGCGACTTTTCGACATCCTGGAGGTCGATGGGGGCAACCTCTGATGTTGTCTCGTTGTTCTCGAAGAGGTTCTGCTTCGCGTTCTCGGTCAAGGAGGCCTTGTCATCTGCCTCCTCCTTCTGCTCAGCAAGAAGCTGGGTAAGTTTCTCATCCTTGTCGGTGACGGACTGGTCACGGTTCAATGGCTCAGTGCCACCAAGGACACCACCAAGAGGGCCGCCGCTTTGGCTCTGGCCCAAGACACCTCCGAGCAGGCCGCCAAGGGCGTTGTCTGAAGATGTGCCCTTCTCGGACTGACCACCAAGAGCTCCGGTAACGTTGCCCAGGGTGTTGCCGACAAGGCCGCCTTGGGAACCCTTCTCATCCTGACCACCACCGAGGACGCCGCCGAGCACACCGCCCTGGCCTTCGCCCAGACCAATACCCTTGGTCAGGTCGCCGACAAGCGGTAATGTGCGGTTGACAGTCTGAACAGTGCCGTCGACAGTGTCGACGATGCCCTTAACGCCCTTGGTGGCGCCCATGATGCTGAAGCCACCGCCCTCCTTGGTCTCGCCGCCTTCCGTCAACTCGCCGAGGGGAAGAGCCTTGCCAATAACGCCGCCATCCTTGCCGATGATGTCGCCTGTCGCGGTGACGACGTTGCCAACGAGCTCTCCGGCCTCGCCTTCTGTGACCTTGCCGACAGTCTTGCCGGTCTCGTCTACCACCTCACCGGTCTTGCCAATGACACCGGCAACGAGGTTGTCGCCATGGTCTTGGATATCTTGCTCGACCGAGTATGCTACAAAAGGTCAGTATCCGAACCATCATGAGTCGTGTGTAAGTGAAC